TTCTCAGTTCTGAAAATCTGGTTTGTGCAAGGGCATGTGAGAATTTAGTTCACTAAACGGAGAGTTTCGTAAGTCACTCATCCACAAATGGGTTCGATTGTTAGGGCTTAATTCCCTTGACTTGTGTAAGAGAAAAACTTTGGGAACGCTGCTTACCGCCTTAGCTGATGTTTCAGCTGAAATAAAATCGAGGTGTTCACTACTCGTTAATGAAAATTACATCTGTATGACTCTCGAGGTGAAAAAAAAAACATTTTTGGGACGCAAAACTTACTCAGCAGATCCATAAGGGACAATGAATCTTCAGTGGAAATCTTGCTGCACTGACACACCAAAGCGACTCCAAACAGCAGGATAAACAGGATGAAATTGGATGCCATTTTCAAGCTCAGATGACTTGATCAATTTAAAGTCAATACCTTGTATACCTTTCTGTTCAGTTGATACGCTTATCTGTCAGTGTTTGTCAGCGCTTTTTATAGTCAGTTATTTGTACTTAACCAACGTGGACACATCTGTTGCTCGCGATCAATCTTTTTTCAGGTTGTGGTCCGTCGTGTTTAAAGATAACTTGTTACCGCAGGGACGCTTGGGGCCTGTTTTTGTCAGTGGTTGGCCATGCTCCTCGCAGGGCACGCGTTTGAAAGAATTAGACTCATCTATTGTAAATAAATCGAAATTGAGAAAAAAAATAAACTTAAGTTGACAAAAGCTCCCTCCAGCTAGCATTGGTTTCGACAAATTTTTACACCTGATGGTATAAAGATAGATTATGGAACTAATGAACGATTTAATCCTTTATTTATTTATGAGTAGTAAGACCATCATCATTTTTAGAAAATTAATTAAAATGATAACCTTGGTAACCGTGATAGCCTTTCCACTTTTCCAAGAGCGGGGGATAAGTATTGTGAGAAAAAATTTTGTAGTCTTGAAATTTCCAGTGTAGATGATTAGTAACTCTTTAAATTAATATTTCACCGTCTTGGGCGATGACAAAGCTTTCCTTATATTTTGGCGCAAATTTTCAGCTTCAGTTTCATATTTACGTAAGGAAATAAAAAATGGATTGCCATGAAAAAGTATCGAACTTAGACGAGAACTCACCTGTATAAGAAATGCCTCCGGCCTCCGGATGGATGATCAATCTTTTAATTTGGAAAACGTTCATTAAGGAGATAAAATCAAAGTCGGAACTGAGGTATTTTCTTGAAAAAACAGTATGATATTTTACTGGTATATATGTCTTCTGCTTTTTTAATGGAATGAAACGAGAGATTATAGGTTATTTGAAACTAATTATACATAAAGGCAATCAATTGGTATAATTAGGAGAGTTCCATTATTTCAACTGTCGTCAATTGATAACAACCACTGAGACAATGATTGATAAAGTACTGAGATAGTACAAAATGGTAACAAACAATGAGGGTAAGGCGACTTTAAACAGGGTTGAAGGACAAACATCTAATTACCACGAAATGATATTTCCCTTTCATGGATGAAACCAACGATTTATCGTACACGGAAGTATTTTGTCTTACACCTCAAATTTGACAATCCTCGAGGTGAGCAAATAATCTAGTCACGTTAAATTTTTGGCGCGAAGTATAAATCAACCATGGGTAAAATCAGACTTACGTTCATATCACGTCAAAATATATCAAGCTTCATCAACAATTAATTTTATGTTAGACTGAATGACGAAGATACACAAATTAACAGCAGAATAAATTCTGTTCCTTGTTTTTCTCAGGGATATTCGCCCCGAGACAGATAATAAAACCTCTGTTAGTAAAGACATTGTGTCTCTTGGCAGACGTGAAACGTAACAACGAGGGATTCAAGAAACAAGAAAGGATTTGATTGTTTTGGCTTATTTTGGAAGCTTGACCTCCTTCGGCATAGTTACAGAAATTCTAAAACAAACTTGATACTCTCTGGATGTGCTATCAAGAGTTTTACTGGATCATTCATTGTTGCAGATCAGTGACAATCAAACAGTCTTAAAAGCCTTAGGAGTTTTTACTGTTTTTCTCTTTTGATTTAATTATTAGTTTTTTTTTTCGCCCTCAGTTGAAGCTTCCCTGGGGACTCTTGTCACTGTGGGATGTCTATTACACATTTATGCTTTTAATCTATTGTTAAACTTTTTCGGTTTTGATCAAATGAGACTATTAGAAAGTATTTCGAAGACCAATCAGTTGTTGCAACTCTCATGCACAGTTCTTTTTTCCAATTTGTTCCATGAGGGAGCACGTGAAAATGTGCAACTAAAACCAAGATTAACCGTTTCAACTTGCGATCTTCTGGGTGTCAGTGTGTTTTTTCTTCCTCTTAACTCGAAATAATTTTGTAGCGTTGTTCTGCATTATTAAAACGACCGGGACCAAATATGTGCGACACTGAATCTCCCACAGATAGATAACGGGCTTAGGTCTGCCCACAGAGATAAGATTTCTGGATAAGATAAGTGAAAATCAGGGAATGCTGCCCTCCGACTGCCTGTGGTTACACCCTCCTGCAAGAAGGATTTACTTGTCACTTCTTAGGAAAGTCTCCAAAATCGCTAATCTTCATCAAGCCTAGTTCCTCGCAAGTGTTCAAATATTAGGCAGGCACCTAAGTTGACAATTATCATAGTGTTGTTGAACATGCTATTCTTCACGTAATTTAAATCACAACCATTTATTTTGGGAATATAATCTTAATAATAATAATAATAGTAATAATAATATTTTGGCCCTCCCTCACACAACTCGTTGTGGTGAATACGTAGGAAATTGGAATTCCACCGAAGGAAATTGCTTTTTAGCAATGGAAGTTAAGCTTAGTTTAAGTTCCAAAGTTGTACGTGTTTTCACACTCTTGTTTGGCAAAATGCTTTGAAGAAGTGTGTACATGTCATTTAGTAAGGGGTAAGTTTCTAAAGAAACTGTGGTGCTGCGTCGGTGGGAGAGTATAACAGGACAATTTAGTATTATGAACTGCATTGATAACGTAAATTGGCCACCGTAAAGAGTTTAAAAGCTGACGTTTTGAGCGTTAGCCCTTCGTCAATCGATCTGACGAAGGGCTGATGCTCGCAACGACAGCTTTTAAACCCTTTACGGTGGCCAATTTAATCAACTCAGTTGATGATACTAAATTTCCCTGTTACATGTAATTTACCTACTTAGCCATCAGAGTGACATGACGGATAGAAACTTAAGGTTACTCCATTGCAAAGGAAAAAAATCGAATGAAAAGGGGGAGCGCTGACGAGGTTCACAGTGTTTCACCAGGGGCCTGGATCGAGAAAAACCTTTATCAGATCGCATAATTTATTTCACTGTTGCGTCACACCTTTTTACCTTTGAACCAAGAATCAGATATTATTGAAATTCCACCAGCCAAGTTGTCAAGATAAACAAGTCAACTGCGGGCAATTTCATACAAGCGACAATGAGCTGTCCTGGCATACATGAACATTGTTGATCAAGACTATAAAGAGATACGTCCACCAAGGTAGGGTTTTCATTTTAAGTTTCACAACACTCAAATAAGTACTCCGTCGATTCAAAGGCTCGAAGTTGAGAGAGATAAGACGAAAATGGTAGTGCAGAATGATTTATTAGATCAGTGACAACATGGGGAGAAATAGTAGCTTCAGGGTTTTTATTTTTCTTTCATTTTAGTTTGTTTTCTCTTCCATTCTTTGACGCTTATACTCTCTTTGATTTTAATTACTCCTAGATACTATTCACTCGTGTCAATATTATTGACGAGAGTAAAATACTAAGAGATATTGAACGAAAGTAGAAAACGACCGCAAAGAAATAAATGAATTTTAACCAACCAAATTTTGAAAAGAATAAAACAAACGAAAAAAAATTGCTTATAGGGCACATAATTGGCTTAAAATGGTCGCAAGAAAAATATTATTCGATTTATACATGAAACAAAGTGTAGTTAAAAAAAGAACTGCTCTTCTATCAGTTTTAGTCAGATAAGCTGGTGGTTGATCTAAGAGCGCGATTTTGTTTGGACGTTTATTTTAGGCTGGAACTTATTACAAAGCTCCAATTCTAATAATAGCCCCCTTCGTGTTACCATGGAGGTCAATGATATCTGTTTTTACTTTTCTTATCTCTGGCCAGCAACTCTACCTCAACAAACTCGCCAGAGCCCAAATTATACCAAATTTCGAATTTCTTTTCTAAAGAAAAATGTCAACATATATACTTCCAACAACTTTTACACAGGACTGAACAAGAAGATCGAGACTTTGCTCATGAAGTCAAGAAGGAGCTGACGACGGAGATGCGAGAGGATGTAAGATCTTTGAATGAAACAACACAAATGTCAAAGGTTGGTTTCTTAGCTTAGCTTTCTTACGATACGTATAAAGTATTGTTAATGAAACAAAAATAATTACAAAATTGAAGATGCAAGGTGACGAATTAAGTTTATTCACCTACAGTTTCACGTACAAAGATTCTGTTACTTCTGGCGTATTCAATTTCGAACAGGATCAGTGATCATACTGACTGGGAAATTGGTAACATCTTTTACCTTCTGTATTCATAATTAAAAAGCTTTCGAAGCTACAAAGTGTCACTAATAAGCGTTTTTTAGGTTGTTTTTTTTTTGTAATATCCTTGCCTTTCATCTTTAGTCTACAAGACTGAACTGTACTGCACTCTACAAAGCTGGAAAGCGAGTCAGCAGTGTTTATACAATCGATCCTGACAATGCCGGTGCATTCGATGTATTTTAGATCCAAAAAACAGGCAGTAGAGGGTGGACAGTGTTTCAAAAGATACTGAACGGCTCTGTCGATTTCTACCGCGGATGGGACGACTACAAACGAGGCTATGGAAATTTTGGCCCGGCCGGATTCGACAAGACACGTCGACTGGCAAAAGAACGAAGCAGACTTCACGTGGACCCTGAAGATAATGACGGAAAGAAAACATATGCCGAGTACAACTTCTTTGGTGTTGCCAGCGAAAGAAGTAAATACAGACTGAGTCTTGGAATATATACTGGTTTGTGATTTGTGCTTTTTCAGGTGGCATTAATGCTACACATGTAGTCTACATGTGGTCGAGGAAGATGAGAGAAAGAAACTCAATTCATTTTAAGCTACATACATTTTAAATCTCTTTGCTTTCTGAGCCTCAACTTTTTAATTCCTTATTTTTGCTTGACTCTGGAGGAACTGCTGGAGACTCATTTTCCTATCACAAAGGCTCCGCTTTTTCCATCAAAGATCGAGACAACGACCAGGATGGTGGTAGCTCTTGTGCCCAAAGAAGCCTGGTGGTACACAAATGTCTTCTCTGTAATCTCGATGGTTTTACCTACACGCACCACACTAACCAAAGGCCATAGTTACTCCGGCAAACGAGCTGAGATGAAAATCAAACCAGTCAATTTAACTCCATTGTTTACTTATTTCGTAACAGCACTGTCTCTGTTTTCTGGTTTCTAAAACGTAGGAAGGGTACGAAGTACATCACAGATTGAAGCTTAGTAATGGGTGATGGATGTATTTTATTTCAAAATTTTACGAGTGTCTGTAAATAATGATGATTTTTGCTTTTATCTCTGTTCTGTCTGTCATTATTGTGAAACTGAACATAGAGATTGGCCTGAAGAACGTTGAAGAAAACCAAGGAAGCCAGAGACAAGAGAAGACAGAAAATTTTTAAATATTTCAAAGCCAAAAACTTTCTTGCCTCTTAAGACGTTCGTCATGAATGTTGAAAAATCATAGAAAATTGAAATATTTTATTTGTCATCATCGATCTTAATACTCGGAGAGGCCACTAATGATTTAGTTGGCTCAATTTGTTTTCTAGCAGCTGTACTCAAATCTTAATTTGAACGAGGCCTAAGAGTATGATTGCCGAGCTCAGAAGTTGAATATAGTCAACAAAAACTCTCTTTCTTTTCTCTCTCTCTCTCTCTCGGATGGAATGAGCCCCCACAATTACTTCCCAAAATTAGTGGAACATCGAAAGACAGGCTGCCTTAAAAGTCCATTAAAGATTGCTAAAATCGGTTCCTATCTGAAATTATAGAAAGCATTATTGTTTCCCTTTACGTGCTTTCAGTTAAGCTTAAAATTTTGAATATTTCATTACTTCATACGATATCTGAAACCTGTCTTTGGCAAAAATCTTCAGTCTGAAACATGCCGTCTGAATAAATTAGGTTTCTTCCAGTTTTGGTCATGTATTCCAACTTTTATTCATTGTGGTTGGGGGTTTTCTTTTTTTGGCATTTGATGGATTAAAACAGATGAAGGCCCTTTTCAGGTGGTTTTTGTTTCTTTCGTTCCTCAAGTTCTTATTTCCCTTTAATTTAGCTCGGGTTGATTTGTCATTATTTGAGGCTTTCAGTTCTGAAGGCTCTCATTCCGGTTTTTCGCTTTTGACGGAAATTTTGGTTTTCAGGTTTCCAATGGGGTTTCCGATAGGTTTTCCCGATAGGCTCCAGAGCCCTTCCTTCGTGCTTCAAGTTCTTATTTCCCTTTAATTCAGCTTGGGTTGATTTACCATTATTTGAGGCTTTCAGTTCTGAAGGCTCTCATTCCGGTTTTTCGCTTTTGACGGAAATTCTGGTTTTCGGGTTTCTGAGAGAGTTTCCCATAGGCTCCAGTGCCCTTAAGTATTTAAGTATGAAGGGTGTATCTAGTTGACAGTCAAAGTATCGCTAGAGGCTTTTGCCACGGCTAACTGAAGCTTCAACACCGGCTGATCATGGCTAGCACTGAATCTTCCTGGATTGTTCTGCTTTTTGCTTTCATTACAACCATCCCAGATGAAACAATGGCAAATGCTAACTTATCACAAGTTTCTCCTTTGAGGGAAAAATGTCAAAATGTATACAACTCCAACAATTTCTATGCAGGACCGAACAAGAAAGTCGAAACATTACTTCATGAGGTTAAGAAGGAGCTCAAAGAGATACAAAAGGATATCAGCCATCTGAAGGGAAATAGAACAAGTGTAGAAGGTAAATATCAAATTGCTGATCATGGTTGCATTTCAATATTTCAAAAATTATCTGCAAAATTTGGGTTGATCTCTACAGTTTATTTTGGCAAAGATCTCCCATTACGAAGGTTTCGCTGTTATTCTGGTATGAAAAACAGGTTTTCTCGATATGACTATATTCGGATAGCGAGGAAAAGGGGATGTAAGGTATAACGGAAATCAGTCATTTATTCCATATCATAGTGATTATCTCTTTTTCTCTGGAATACATCAAATTTAGCTTGAGACTGGCGGTCAAATTTATCCTTTATTTCAGTCTTTAGGAACTGCGCTGAACTCTACAAAGCTGGAAAGCGAGTCAGCGGTGTTTATACAATCGATCCTGACAATTCCGGTGCCTTCGAGGTCTTTTGCGACCAAAAGACAGCCGGTGGAGGATGGACAGTGTTCCAAAAGAGACTGGACGGCTCGGTTGATTTTTACCGCGCATGGAACGACTACAAACGAGGCTTTGGAAATTTAAACGGTGAGTTTTGGCTCGGACTGGACAAGATTCATAGGCTGACAAAAGAAAGATGTAGACTTCACGTAGACCTTGAAGATATCAACGGAAATACTGCGTATGCCGAGTACGACTTCTTTGGTGTTGCTAGCGAAAGAGGCAAATACAGACTGAGTCTTGGATCATACTCTGGTATGTGACCAGTACTTTCTAACATATCTCTCAGATGAGGATTCTCTCGCTACAATTTCCATCCCTCAGTACGACACCTGATTAGTGCTGCGTTTATTTGTCCAGCAGTAAAGGACGGTCGATAATTTGGCCAAATAAAACGAGATATTTGTCACTCCAAGGCACCATTACATTATTGCATAGTTACATCTGTACAATTTCATAAAAGCCGTTTGGGTATTAAGTTTTTCGCAACCAAGCTTTTTGGCGTTTACCTTTTTTGCAATTTCCCGACCAAATTGTTGTACTCCTCAATCTTACCTAACGGAGAATCAAACATCATTTTTCAAAAAAGTGCTGTTCGATGAGGTTAAGTTCCATTCCAGTAATATGTAACATTTTTTCTCTCTTATTCTGGTGAAAAAGCTTTATGTTCCATATTTTTGTGTTTCTTCAAAGGAACTGCTGGTGACTCATTTTCTTATCACAGAGGCTCAGCATTTTCCACCAAAGAGCGAGACAACGATCAGAGTAGCTCCAACTGTGCCACACGTTGCCAAGGAGCCTGGTGGTACAATTCCTGTTTGCGTTCCAATCTCAATGGTCTTTACCTACACGGCCCACACTCTACTTCATGGGAAGGCGTAAACTGGCACGACTGGAAAGGCAATAGTTACTCCGCCAAACGAGCTGAGATGAAAATTAAACCAGTTAATTAAACTCCACTGTTTACTTATTTCGTAAGAGCACTGCTTCTATTTTCTGGTCCAAAACGTGAAGGGTACATAGTACAACACAGATTGAAGTTTAGTAATGGGTGATGAGTGTATCTGAAAATAATCAAATTTTTTCTTTCATATTTGATTTTGTCTGTCATTACTGTGAAACTAAGCATAGATTGGCTTGAAGAACGTTGAAGAAAACCGGAGACGAGAGAAGACAGAAAACGCCTAAGTTTGCCCGAAAAATCAATATTTCCAAACCAGAAACTTTCTAAGTTTTTAAGACGATCGTCGAGAATGTTGCGAAATCATAGAAAATTAAAAAATTATATTTGTCATCATCGGTCTTATTACTCGGAGAAGCCACTGATGATTTGGTTGCCTCCTTTTGTTTTCTAAAAACTGTACTGAAATCGTTCTTTAACCGAAGCCTAAGAGCATATTTGCAGTGTTCAGAAGTTTATGAACATATAGTCAACAAGCAACTCTCTCTCTCGGATCTTATGAGCCCCTACCATTGTTTCCCAAAATTATCGGAATATCAAAATACAGGCTTCCCTAAACGTCCATCAAAAATCGATAAAATCTCTTCTAATCTGAAATTATGGACAAGGGTCATCCATAGGTGTCCGTTTTATTGTTTCCTTTTGTCTTTCCTTTCCTTTGCGGCTTCGCAACTTGTTGAAAAGCTCCCCATCAAAACCGCCAGTTACGCACACTAGTTATAATATACGACCTCGCATGTAAAATCGGCTATTTATTACTCAACAAATCCCTAAGAAAGCTCGAGTTAACGCTTCAATAGCGTCTAGTTTAATTTGCGATTAAAACTTTGCTAAATGAAAAAAGCAAAATTATAGCGAAAACGGACGTCAAGTAATCAAAGAAAATGCCAAGAGATCCCATTGCTTGAATTCCTTGGCAACGCGACCCATCTTGAGTGCTTCGATCGAAATATGTTCGCGAGATTAATCTCACAGCCTCAAAGTTAAAAATAATTTTCTTAATTAATTACGGCAGAGCAATGTACGAAGTAAAAGGGAAAGGCTAATTAAAATTTCTGCCGTATCCAAGTAATGTTGGTGTTAGGTTTGAACAAGTGGCAACGGGGCGGGGAAAATTATCGTATGAAAAGAACTAAATTACGGACGCAAGTTCAGCTGGCAATTTCCCTGAGAAGTAATTTACCAAATAGGTCGCTACCAGGAATATTTATTTTAACAATGTCCATCAGAATGACATCATAGAAGGACCGATGTACACGTGTACACAGCCCGAATTTCGCTCAATGAATGGCTAAATCTTGGCGCCAAATTTGAGGGAAATCGGAAGTAACTTGATTTTTTACGAGCTTTTCCTCTTTAGACCTCTGATTGGTACTTAACAAACTGCTGCACTTTGTATTTTTTTAATGAAAGACAGCTGTTTTAACAGAAACATGGAGGTGACAGCGTCAGAAAACGACTAAATCCAGGCCCGCTGCTGGAGTATATCGTCTGCAACTAGAACCCAGTACTCCTGTCGAATGAAGACCTTAAAGCAGCCTGACAGATTTCGCTGTGTTCATTGCTTAATTCTTCCACTCGAATGCGAAAGCTTTACTTGACACGCCTATTCCAAGCACCTGTGAGGCTTTTGACGATGAATGTAGAGGGGAAAGGAATTCAAGCGAAAGTAACGTTGAATGATGGCTACCAAATGCCTTTGTTCGGCCTCGGTGTTTACAACGCGAATGGCGACGATTGCCGTAATGCAGTGAAGTTTGCTCTGCAGAATGGATACCGCTTGATCGATACAGCAACTTATTACGAGTAAGTTTGCTTTGCCGGACCATGTAGTGATTTTTACTTATTTGCATCCTTGGTACATACGGTAAATGTATAGTGAGATGATTTATACGAACGGGGAAGCTTCTCCACTGATTATGAAACAGACGCACAACTGGGAAAATACACTTTTCGCTTTTTACATACGGTAAATGTATGGTGAGGTGATTTATTCGGTCAGCTCTCTGTATCATGTCGCGTAAGACGCGGAGGGTATATATGTACTTCATACCCACTGCATTGTGGCTTTAGTACGCTGAAGCTTGCCATTTTTCTAATTCTGTTCCTCCCCATGGCACTTGCGTCGATGACCTCAGTAGAGCGTAGAGCGTAGAGCGCGTCACACGTGTCACCGATGAATCGTTTCAACTCCAAAGTTTATTGGAACTTTCCTCATCGAACGCGCACTTTCGTGATTGACGTGATTTGTGTGGTTTGACTTAAAACGATTACATGGTAACAGCTTGCTATGTGCAAAATCGACGATGGAAAGAATTAAAGTGACAGAAACGAATTTACATATGTTTTCGAGTAGTGATAATGGAAATTTCATGACTTGAGTTGAGTTTTATTGACTCTGTTGAGATTGAAAAATGATTAGTCTGCTAGAATTAAGCACAAATTAATTTTTATGTATGCTATGAATGAGTTGTCAGTAATCGGATCCTTGCGTTTGCGCAAAGAGTTCTGGGATCGTCACAGGGCAAACATTGTAACTTGCTATAGAGGAAAGTTTGACGTCCTAAAAAAACAATTTTTGGGAGATTAAGGCTTTTTTGCCACAGTTTTATTATACATGGATAAAGATATGTTGATACGAGGGAAGAGTGAGTTTTTGTTGGAATTACCACAAAACATGTCATAAAAAAATACAGAAAAACTTCTCTTCTTGGGCAAGGTCTGTTGTGAAATCGTCATTGTGTAATGGTCTTGAAATATTACAAAGTTAGCCAGGAATCGTTAGGAAATAACTCATTTAAGTCTTTTCAGTTGTATTTATATATGTACAGCCTGTTTTCATGCTTTTTAACATATTAAATGAACAAATTACGACATTTGAAAATATATCTCCTTTAAGGAGAGAAGTCATTGTCCACAGAGATGGAAATCATTTTTACCAAGCTGTTGCTCTCTGAAAGGATGAAACAAGCAATGAAAAACATGAGGAAATCCCCTGTTCAAGTGATAGTTTGTTTGAAAAAAATCCAAAAGTCTCTGAGCTGCAACTTTTCTTCTCGAACTCCTTGAAGGATCTTGTCAGGAAAAGCAAGATCACAGGAATTCCAGCAGAAACTGTGGACATATCAGTGGTTGTGCATTGCTCCTTAAGGGACCAATTTGTATCACTCATTGTCACAGAAGAAAGGGTTCAGTTTTGAGTGGAGTATTAATGCTGATTCCTTCGCATTCATCACAGCAAAGAAGCAGTGTAGGTGATTCAGCACTTTAATGTACATACTGCAATATCTAATGATCAAGCACACCATTTCAATCTCCTGCTGCCTCAAGTTAGCTCTTCTAGCGCTCTTTTGTGTTACAAAGCCACAAAAAACACTAGAAGTAGACTTCACACACATACAAAAAACTGGAACAGCTTAGTTGAGTTATTCCTTGGCGATTTGAAGTTATGTTTTCAAAATGTCAAGACCATTACACAATGTCAAATTCATAATAAACCTTGTGCATGGAGACAAGTTAATTGGTAGATTTTACTACATGGTTTTTCAAACAAAAACTTACACCTCCCTAGTATCAGCATTAGTCAAATCCATTTCTGATAAAAGAGCGGCGAAAAAGTGAAAATCTCTTGTTAAAATCTTTTCTTTGGATGTTGGAACAACTGTTCGCCATACATTTCCTTCTAGTGAGCTGCGATGTTTGCCTTGTGGCGATCCCAAAAATCTGTGCGTAAACACAAGGATCCGGTTACTGGCAACTCATTCATTGCATGCACTGTGCTTCATGTGATGTTTCAGGTGGGAGTGGTGCATCTTTCCAACTGCATCCCACAGAAGTTCTCAACCCAGCAGTCTTAATTCTTTTCCATGAGACTAATTCAGGGTTCATATTTTACTGGCAGTGTAGGTTAAGTGTTCTCAGTTTAAAAGAGTACTTGTAACAAAAAGAAATCTTGAAATATTCCATTAGTAATGAAGCTGAAGTTGGACAAGCAATCAAAGAGTCTGGAGTCAAGAGAGAAGATATCTTTGTGGTGACAAAACTCTGGAATGAGGACCATGGATATGAAAAATGTTTAAAGGCTTTTAATACAAGCCTAAAAAAGTAAGTAAGGACAATTTATTTTAAAATGAAGAACTGCTTTAGCTGGTGACCATAATGTTTGATTCAAAGTTGATATTGTAAGGAGAAATTAGATGTTAGTCACTCGTAAGGGGAGGGTTCTTCCTCTTGTGGTAATTTTTTGTAAGTGGGAAAATTCTTTATATGAATAAAGAATAATGAAAATAGAAGGAGGCTGGCAAGGTTGGTTTTGAAAAACTTTCCATGAGTCCTCCTGAGCTTTGTAAATAGTCAAGTGGTTTTGCTTGCTGGAGTGAGAACTTTCACATGATTATCTGTTCATCCAGTACCAAATTCTCTGAACTGACATCATAAGAATTGTATAGCAGATGGTAAGGAGAATTACTTATAAGATCTTGGGAGTGAAAAGTAAAAAATTGTCAGATTCAATATTGCCAAAGTGATTGTGGCTTCTGATTTATTGAACCTTTTTTTCAGGCTTGACACTGGCTACATTGATTTGTATCTTATTCATTCACCCAGTCCTGGGGGCAATGTTGACTCATATAAGGCCATGCTAAAGCTTCAGGAAGAAGGTGTTTTAAGGTGATCAGTTATATGCTATTATATGGAGAGTGAAAGGAATATTTCTATATGTAATACTTTTTTTTTGTCTGTCAAACAAGAACTTTAGCAGGCTCTCTTATGTCACAAAGTCATGCATCAAGCTTCATCCCCTCTCCCTTCCCCTTTCTGGGCTACCTTTTGGCATGTGAGTGTTTAAGTACAGTGCCCTGGGGGTGGGGAATTTGAACCATGCCTGGGTGGGGTGAGAAATTTGAACCAGCAGAATGCAAATGTTTTAAATATAGAGGAGTTAAAAGGTAAAGAGTCTGTTTCTGTGCACAAATGGCTAAGAAGAAATTTGAATGATGCTTACAAGCAAAAGACCCTATTCTGCACTGCCAATGCATCAATCTTCAAAAAATTAAATGCCCAGTTGGTTGCCCCAAAGGGGATGTGGAAACTTTGATTGACAAATAACTTTGGAATTTTTGTATGAAGTCTTTTGTGTGAATTTGAAAGTAAGTCATTTGTGTGAATTTGATAGTAAGTCATTTGTGTGAATTTGATAGTAAGTCATTTGTGTTTTGCAATCAAATGTAATTGCAGTACATTACAGGTGACCTTTGGACACTGAGTCAGCAAGTAGTGCTGTCTCACTTACTGGACAAAAAGTAGAAAAAATCAGAGGTTGTATAATAATGCTAGATGGTAGTGTTGCAGGATATTTGTCTTACATGCAAAACAGAAAACCTGCCTCATCCCGCATATTTATGAGTACCCTGTTCCACAAGAGAAAGATGATTTTAGAATATATTGTATCACTGACATTCAACTAATAGTTAAATGGTAACAAATTATAATATTAACATTGATAATAATGATATCAATAGTAATGTGTGGTAATTTATAGGAGCCCTACTCAGAAGCCTCATGGCTCCTCTATCTTCTGGATTCCAACAATGATTACGTGTGCTTCTTTTAATTTCGCCTGTTAATTATAAAATAATAAATTATTTATTCTATTCCAAGCATCTGTGATCCATTTCCATTTCCATTTCTGAGAATTTTGTTTTATACATCAAATTCGGCGTTTAGGATATTCCGTCATTTCACGTCTTCTGATATTTCGCCATTCGCCGATCCACCATTCTGTTAAATAACTCAAGGTATCGTTTTTCACTGCTTACTCGCTTCGCAAATTTGGCGGCTCTTTTCGGCATAAGTCGCTGATAAAATGTTCTCTCTTCATATAAAAAAGTTTCCCTTTAAGTTTCACCATGCGCCGATCACACCTATCAAGATATTTCTGCAAGGAAAAATTTTGTTGTTATAGCAAGCAATCCTGAAATGATTGCGAGATGTTTACGTCTCACTTGGTGTCACGGCAAGAACTAAAGCCATAATGCACTAGTGGCGAAAAGCCAGAAATCACAAAAGGAGAGAACTCAACTATGTGTTGAGTGCGAATGTCGAACTACTAAGATACTCCGAAACAAACGATAAGTAGCACCGGGAAACTCGGGTCAGAATTGGGTCAAGATCGGAATTCTTTTGTTACACATCACTTGCTCATCTCGACAACGTACGTGGCTTCGCCATTTATTACCATAATGGAGATTTCAAATTATGTTAATTGTGGAGTAAAAATGTTTGGTAGTTCTTTCTTCCCTTTGTTCTCTTATTGTTTCACTCGTTCTAATAATCATTTTCCTTCGCGTTGATTCATTACTTAACCTTGAATTCTTTGTCTTGTCGTTTCATTTAATTTGTCTTTTCGTTCTTTCTTTTACTTACGTATTGACTTATTCACTCGCCTTCTCATTTATCACATTATTATTTCTTCAGTTTATTCCAAATAATGTTTCTTCCTTTCATCAAGGTCTGCTGGAGTGTCCAACTTTGGTGTGAATCATCTTAAAGAGATGGAAAAGGCAGGCCTTCCGATACCAGCTGTCAATCAAATCGAGCTTAATCCTTTTTGGCGATTAGATGACATTGTCAACCACTGTCTTGAAAAAGGCATTGCACCAATGGGTTACTGTCCATTGTTTCGTGGCAGGAAAAACAATGATCCAGTTTTAATTGAAATGGCAAGTAGGTGAGTATAAAAGTACCTCTACATGCAGATCCACTGGATCTTTTCACTTTCCGTCACCTTCATTGCACTGGGTGCCCAATAAAAAACAGTTTTGCAAGCTGCAGTTGGTAAAAAATTAGGAATATGACCATTTGCAGAGTTTTGTTTAGCATCCCTTCATCTTGTACACCCTTACATCAGTATGCATATTCTCCAAACTGTTCTCCATACACTTCCTAGGGTGCTGACAAGGAGAATTTGTTTAGCAATCGAGAGCTTCTCTAGTTGGTGATCATTTCCTTCACTCTTGTGACCTTAACGTGTGATTCAGGGGTGATATTATAAGGAGATATTAGATGATACTTACTCTTGGGGGTCAAAGGGGTCAGTAATTGGAAAAAAATATTGCTGACGTGTTAGGACGAAAGGAACTAACAACTTATCCTAAGACGCCAACAGCGGATAAAGCCAAATGTGCATAAAGGCTGGCATGGGTGTGCTCGCTACCGCTACAATCAATTCCTCAATTTTTTAAAATCTTTACCTAAAATAGGAATTTTTTGATCGGTTACTCGTACTCAAATTTCAAGCTTTCAATGTTCCTTGCGTGTCCCGTAATGCCTCCCCAGGAGCACAGCCCAAGTTAAGGCTCAAGATAGTACGATCAAACTGTTTACGACATAAAGCGTGTACTGGTCTGGAAATTTATATCAGATTTCATTTTCAAATAATCTCTCTGCCTCTTTTAGGTACAATAAAACTATTCCACAAGTCCTCATCCGGTGGAGTGTGCAGAAAAATTACATCACCATCCCCAAGTCCAGTAAACAAGAGAGAATTTTAGAAAATGGAGACATATTTGACTTCACTATCAGCGAAGAAGATATGAAAACTTTGGTAAGAATAGATTGAAATGGGTTTAAAATTCTCCACTTTTGCAAGAAAGCTAAGACGGTAGACAGAAAGTTGTCACAAGTTTTGCACCCTTCGTCTACGCCAATACATAGGAAACCTATAGTACTGAATAACAAAAGCAAATGACTTGCGTATTTTTTTTCGATCGTGCGCGCTAAAAAATCGAATACACGTGTCAGACTAGCCTGTGTCTTAGCGTATATAATTTTGGTTGCGCTGTTAACATATACGCGAGCGGTACTGTATTTTGGCCACGCTTGCCCCACAATGTTTTAAATGAGTGCTCTTATCTTTATATATATATTCAGAAGGGTAGTGCTCTGAGCTCTGGGTAGATTTCCCAATTTTCTAGTTGTTAACCTCTTAGTGCTTGAATTTAACTGTTGTTTTATTTCTTTCGGATGCAAACGCATATAGCCTGCGTGACAGGCACATTATCAGGCCGAGGCAAACACAAGGTTAGCGCGTGGGGCGCGTCACGCTCCTCTCTTCGCGCTAGTCTTAATCCTTGCGCTCTTCATGCGCTCTCTTTGCGTTCGCCTGAAAACGCAAAAAAATGAGGCGCCGGTCGCGCAGGCTTAAACACATGAGGACAGTAAAGCATACAACAAGCGTTTAGTCCCAAACCTAACCCTTATTAGTCTGTAAATACAACTGAGTTTCATTGGTATTGCTGCAAACGGGACTAAGCACAAATGGCTGTATGGGGCTGTGTCTGAGGTCATACGAGGCGTATGTAACTTTGATTCTCTTTAGATGAGGTACTTAATGATAATGTTACTTATACAATCGTATTTCAGGATAATATGCCCGCAGAACAGTGCACTAACTTGAAGGATATCACAAACTCACTATGGAGAGGTTAACGTCGAGTTTATCAAGCCATTCACGAACGGGGAAGCTTCTTCACTGATTATGAAACAGACGCACAATTTGGAAAATATTGTACACTTTTTTGCTGTGGTTTAATTACCCCTAGGCTTGTTTATGAGCCTTTCTAGGGACTGTGCATAATCATGCATGTTTTCTTCACGAAATTTTTTTTTTTATCTGCTAGCCAATGTTGATTCATTTATTTCAGAGCTTTGTGAAAATCTTGCATATCGATACTGGTAATTTTTTTAAGGCGGGTTACTAGGGCGCTCAACCCTCTTGATGCTACGCTCTTCCATTTCAATTAGGACGACATCCTCGAACTGATGAGTTTATTTTCTCTTGTTACCCGTTTGTTAAATAATGTCTTGATTTTGTCAGGAGGGTAGTAACAGCTTGATTGCTTCTCGGAATTAGAGGGGTTGATTAATTTTTTTTCCAAATCTTAGCATGATAACGTAGGTAATCTTTTGTAATAAAACGTTTACATGCTAACATTAACGATCTCATCTCGATTCATTCACACAGAATTTTTGTATATGAAATAGCTGTCCATGCAGTTCAAATTGTGGAACATTAGTTTTTCTTCCTTGGATACCCCTCAGTGTGTTGGTGGGATGTGCCGCCCGGTTCTTGCCCCTATTTCAGACCGAAACATACCATTTCCATTATTCCGTTTTCAGACTCAGCGCCCTGTTTCTCAAAAGTTTCGTGAAATCAAATTTATTGCCAAAAACCTGAACTACATTTGTAAAACTTCTCTATAATACATCTTTAGTTGACAGACACCTCCATTCAAATAACGAAAACTTTGGGCCAAACTGAAAAAGTTCTTCTGCAACCTTAAATGAGAAAACATCTCTATTTAGGGGACACTTTATTTTGGACAAAGGGCTCCCCTGGTGGAGGTTCTGCTCAAGGGAAGTAAGGGAAGTAGAGGTGCGGGGGAGTTACTCAACATACTACAGTTACAAAGTTTATGGTCTTAAAATAATGATATTACGTATTATAAAATAAAGGGCAACGCTAAAATACCATAATGATCTCTTGGCAATACTGTAACTGAACATTCAAGTTGTTGCTCAGTTTTAAGTTGAGCTCAGGTAACTATTTTTGGTAAACAAATCCTTTGTGGAGCTTCCAATATTCCCTCAGGGGCTGCAAGAAAATGAAAGTAAAATCAGTAAATATTAATTCTATTTTCTTGACAATTTTAGCCTTGAGGGTGATAATTACGGTTCAAGGATAATTGTTGAAGAAAGGAAAAACCTGAAGAACAGTTTCTCCCCCCACCCTCTCAACGCCCCATCCCTACTGAAGGGATGCGGATCGGATGCATCGCACGTCTTCCCTTACAACTCGTCAAATTTCCGTGACTGTTTGTACCCATTCATACTGCTAGGAGGTTAGACGTGCTTAGAATCTAATATCAGTATGCATATTCTCCATAATGTTCTCTATACATTTCCTATGGTATTGATACGGAGAATTTGTTTATCAATCAAGAGCTTCTGAAGTTAGCGAATATTATTGTCTTTATTCCTATGACCTTAATGTTTGATTCAGTGGTAATCATGTAAGGAGAAGTTAGATCCTAGTCACTTTTGGACCCGATAACATTGTGCAATGAATAGACCAGCCTATCGATCCTGAGTCAAGCTCGGTGATCATTGTGCAATTGCGTCTCCAGTTGCACAAGCCAGGTGCTACTTACGGGGATGGACGTTTTCCTGGAACAATCCTTTGGTATTTCCAGCGGGAGAATAACGCGCTACCGCAATCAGCTTGCCGTGTCCCACAGCAGTTGCCATTCCCACCTCTCTGGTCGCTTTCCAAACGATCTGAGTGAAATGCAATATTGGAGCGAATGGTGTCTTTGTCTCCCCTGTTGCGTAATCATAATCAATTTCCTCGTCGTACCACCGCGTCACGATCTCACCGCAGCTCAGGCATTCTGGTCCGAACTCACCGTAATTGCACAGCCTCTTGGAAGGACTCTTGTAGTAGAGGTTCTCACCCTGACCCTTGGCCTCCAGAGTTGGATCGTGAACAAATTCATCACGGCTTGCAAGGTAGTCAGCCCATTCCTGTGCCGCACGCGTTAGCTCCGCTGACCACCGAAGGGGAGGGGCGTTATGAAAACCTCTATAGCAGTTGTGCACTTCTAAGCAATCTTTCTGAAAACCTGACCGTTTAATGAAAGTGGATTAGAAAGATGTGGCATACTGATTGATATTTTAAGGCATAAAGTACTTTATCATTTCTTGGGTGACGCACTCGGCTTTTTAAGATTAAGTACAGGAAGTTCTAGAATAATTTCCCGGAAGTCATCGTGAAGATTATGGAAAAAACTGTTTAGTCATGGAATATTCTGTCCAGCAAAAAAGGGGCATTGTAGTATACCCCATGTGGAGTATCAGTCCTTGAAACAAGACTAAGGTGGAGAAAGACGTTTTTCGTTTTGTTACGAGCGTGGGACATAGAAAAAAATCTGAGTCCTACTGAGGAATCGAACCTCAGACCTTTAGATTTCTGCTCTCCTATGCTCAACACTGAGCCACTTAGACTATGGTGAGTGAGGCCCATTACGAAGTTCATTTATGAGACGCTTCCTGCAAACTGCTAGGATCAGCGATGTTTATAGCGTCATTTTTTGCAAAAAAGAATAAGAAAGATGATACATTTTGAGCTCAGTAAAGAAATAGAGAAATATATTTTGCGTCTTATCACGAGCGTGGGACAAAGAAAAAAATCTGAGTCCCCATGAGAAATCGAACGTCAGACCTTCGGATTTCCGAAAGTTCATTTACTAAATACAGAGGTACACAACGAGGGGGAATTGCGAATTGAACATAATTTTATCTGGAGACTTTTTTTACCTGATGGTTCAGCGGTCTCCGGTGTAGGCTGCTCTGTCTGAGGTGCCATGGTCTCTGGTTCGATGGGTGGAGAAGGGGGCTTGGAACCTAACAGGTATCAGAAACCATCAACTGACCCGAAACTAGTAGAATCCTTTTGAATGTACAGAAACAGTCTAAAAGACCTGTCGTCTAATGTAACAACAATGTAGTGCATACAATTGTTTTGTTATGTCTATTCTTTAAGGAGGCTATGACACGATGGTTTGGGTCGTTTTATAACACGCGGAAAATTACGTTCAACTTGAGGATGATCACAAAATATTAGTTCGGACAGGTATTTAAAACTAAAACGGAAGAAGCACCAAAAACCATCGAGAAAGGTTAGGGATGAAACTGCACACATCTTAGTGTATCTCCTTAACTTTCATTTCCGTCGTTTGTTGGCCCACCTGGTTTAAGGCTGATCAGACAAATAAATGGGGTTTAGCGGTGGACAGTCTACGAGGGGGTCTTCTTGTCCACTGTTTCCAGTTGGAATTGGAATTTAAAATGTTGGTTTTAATTGAGGGAGGAAAACCAGAAGACCCGGAGAAAAACCCTCGGAGCAAGGTCGAGAACCACTGGGAATCGAACCAGGGCCACAGTGCTGGGAGGCAGGCGCTCTCACCAATGCTCTCCCTAAGAACACAACTGGTGCGGCTATCCTAAACCCAAACCGAATACTTACACAAGTTGCAGGTTCTACGACATTGCTGTATTGCATTCTCTGCCTTCCATCGATTGCAATAATTTTCAAGCGCCTGTCCGCCTCCCGTCTTGACTACAAGAGCATAACAGTCGGTGCGCTCGTCTTCGCAGACTATAGGAAAAAAAAGTGAGAAAGTCGTTATCAAAAAGCCTACTCAGAATATAATTTCAATGATATCACTGATATCATATTGTATTTGTTTGTTTTTACTTAACTAACCGTTAAAGACCGCTGTAATATCTCTATTGAGGGCAAAATGCCTCCAGTATATGCGAGTATTCTTTTGATCAGTAGAAGGATCAACAAAATCAAACATAGTCCAAGGTTACTGGTTGTCTATTTATCGCCAAGTCGTTTGCGATGTCTCCATCTGCCGTTTAGCTGCTCTTAAAAATTCTGCAAGTGGGGTGGAAATAAAACGGCTAGGAGGGCAAAATCCTCGCCCGTCATAAGTTAAACCTTTTTTGCAGTGAAAATCAATAAATTTAATGCTCCTTTTATTCTTACCAGCGGGTGATGGTGCTTTGCCTGTAAAGAGGAACAAAGAATCATTGATAAGTCTTTTCACACCCATTATCCAAAGGAAAAGTTTCATACCTAGTTCCACTTTTCTATGAGGGTAATTGCTCAAACTTTCATGACATATCTCAACATGTAGATATGCCGTTACTCAGTTGCTGATTTTAAGTATGTTACACGAGTACTAGATGACGGCTGTACGCTCCAAGAAAAGCCTGTATTTGTTTATATAAGAAGAGAGCGTCAATAATGGAAAACTAAGTTAACCATCGCAGTTAACCTAAAATAAACCATTTTCATGAAACGAGTTCCGTTTCTCTCGGATTGCTAGATAAAAGACAACCCTTTATTCCAGGTTTGTGGCAAACGGCCTGATAAGCGGTAAAATCCTCAACGATATTATGCAGCAAGAAAAAGCTCTAGATGTTTGGGATTGAAGTGATCGCTTTAATATACTTACAGAATTTACAGGTGTTACGGCACTGTTTAACTGCCAGCGTGTTCTTGTGCTTCGAGCAGTATTCGTCTAAAGTTTCTCCTGGCCGCTTTGCTAATTCTTTGGGAATCCAACTGCAATCTCTTTCGTCTTTACACTCTGGCGATGAAGAACCAATTCAGAAGTGTCAACTTACTACTGACATTATCTACACTAGCCGCTTACAAAGGTGAAATTAAGCCTAGGTGATGCAATTCTTTAGTTCAGTTTCCTAGTTCTTAAGCCTGTTAACTATGCATGAATTGTCTCCTTATTTTTTTTCCGAGATTAATTTTCAATTGAATGTCGAAAGTGATCCTAGATTGCATTGGTTTGGCTTTAGATGGTAACGAGACAGATAATTACTCTCCCCGGCCAAGAAAAACTTATCGTGCTGGCTGCAATTTTTTATTCTGAAGGAAAGGCGGGAATACGACGGCAGGATGACAGAAGAGAGATGCTTTGCCACCCGAAAAATATCTAAATGCGGGCTAGAAAAAAACAAAAAAATCTTAATCAAGAAATCTCACTCCAAATCATATTGTGCTTGTTTGTTTGTACTTTTAGAACTGTAGAGAACCTTTGTAACATCTCTATTGAGGGGACACATATCACAGTCCCCAAATTGCCTCGATTGAAGGAGAATACCTTCAGTATGTAATTTTTTGATCGGTAGTAGGATCAACAGAATCAAACATAGTTCGTATTTTTCAATTTATCGCCAAGTCTTTTACGATTTCTCTAGCTGCTAATTAAAATTCTGCTGGTGGGTTGGAAATAGGACGAATAGGAGGGAAAAATCTACGCCCGCCCAAAATTATTGACACCTTTTCTGCAATGAAAATCAACAAATTTAATACTCCTTTGATTCTTACCAGCGGGGGATGGCTCTTCGCCTGTAGAGAGCAAAAAGAAGCGTTGATAAGTATTTTCACTCCCACGTTCCAATAGAAAATTTTCATACCTGCTAATTCCAAATTTCTATGAAAGTAATTGCTCAGAATCTCGTGACACATCTTAACATGTTGGTTTTTCGTAACTCGATTGTTGATTTTACGTGTGTTACACGGGTGCAAGATGATCTATACGCTCCAATGAAGAGCCTATATCTGACTATATATGAAGAGAGCGTCAATAATGGAAAGCTGAGTTAACCGACACAGAGAGTGGCAGAGTAAGTTAGCTAAAATAAACCAATTTAATGAAGCAGGTTCCATTTCTCTCACATTGTTAAAGAAAACTGAGAAAAACCTTCTTATACCAGGCTGGTGGTAAACACGGCTGAAGCTTATCAAAATTGCTGTGGCATTAAGCAACGCCGAGAATTGACTGCTCCAAAAGAAAGGAAGACCGGTAAACCAGAAGTCAAATTAAACGAAACATAGTCCAAGGTTAAGAGCTTTCTATTTAACTCCAAGTCTTTTGTGATGTCGTTAGCTGCTATTTAAAATTCTGCTAGTGGGGCGGAAATAGGACGGCTCGGAGGGAAAAATCCTTGCCCGCCCTGAATCACACCCTTGTGCAGTGAAAATCGATAAATTCAATGCTCCTTTCACTCTTACCAGCGGGTGATGGTTCCTTGCCTGTGGAGAAGAAAAATAAGTATTGATAAGTATTTTCACCCTCGTGATCCAAAGGAGAATATTTACACCTGCTAATTTCACATTTCTATGGGGGTAATTGCTCAGAATTTCGTGACACATCTTAAAATGTCGGTATTGCGTGACTCAATTGCTGATTTTAAGCCCGTTACACGAGTACAAGATGATCTATAAGCTTCAAAGAAGAGCCTATATCTGATTATACAACAAGAGAATGTCAATAATGGAAAACTGGTCAATCGGCACAGGGAATAGCAGAGTAAGTTGCCTAAAATAAACCGATTTCATCGAGTGGGTTCCGTTTCTCTCGATTGCTAAATAGAAGAACAACTTTTATCCTAGGTTTGTGGCAAACACGGCTGAAGCTTGTCACAATTACTGTATCTTTGAGGATTTTACCGCTTATCAGGCCGCTTGGGTATAAAAATGTCTATCAGCCTCACTAACTATGTTTTTTCCACGGAAATGGCGATCAAAATGAAAAATTCAGCGTAACGATTATAATAAATCTTGTATTCATTGCCTCAGAGAGAACAAAATCAAAATTTTCGGAACATATGAAGAAAATCATGCAAGAATCGACGGCATGAAATTGTTCATACCCCTGTTTGAAACACACGCCCGCTACCTAAAGCAAATACAAAAGCACCTTTTTGAACAGTCTAAAAGGTTATCAAATGTCTTGTGCTTGTTTGCTTGTGATTTAAAGTTTCTGTGTGGAGTCCAATAATGGATTTTGATACTCAGCCATTAATTCAGAAAACGGTTTCTTGGGTCTACAGATTAAGAGTCATTGAAAATTACTTTTTCTTGTGGAACTAGTCTTGAACAAACACTCAGTTTGTAAGGACAAGCTAAAGAGCAGGACGGAACTTCCGATTCAGAGTTGTTCTCAGCTACGCCTCGAGCAACTCTTACGCATCTTTCGTGCTCTCCAAACTTCCCGCGTGCTTCATATCTCGATGAACGCACGCTGACGTATGAACCAATTGTTAATTATCAACTGTGTTAAAAATGTGAATTAGACACCGTAAAGAGTTAAAAAAGCTGACGTTTTGAGTGTTGGGTCTTTATCAGAGTGAAACATATTTATATCCAAGCGACCTGATAAGCGGTAAAATCCTCAACGATATTGTGCAGCAAGAAAAAGCCCCAGGTATTTGTGATTGAAGTGATCGCATTAATATACTTACAGAATTTACAAGTGTCACGGCACTGTTTAATTGCCGGCGTGTTCTTGTGCTTCGAGCAGTATTCGTCTAAAGTTTCTTGTGGCCGCTTTGCTAATTCTTTGGGGATCCAACTGCAATCTCTTTCGTCTTTACACACTGGCGATGAAGAACCAATTTAGCAGTGTCAACTTATTACTGACATTATCTACACTATTCGCCCACAAAGGTGAAATTAAGCCTAGGTGATGCAATTCTTTAGTTCAGTTTCCTAGTTCTTAAGCCTGTTAACTGTGTATGAATTGTCTCCTTATTTTTGTCTCAGAGCAATTTTCAATTGAATGTCAAAAGTGATCCTAGATTGCATTGGTTTGGCTTTAGATGGTAACGAGACAGATAATTACTCTCCCCGGCTAAGAAAAACTTATCGTGCTGGCTGCAATTTTGTATTCTGAAGGAAAGGCGGGAATATGACGGCAGGGTGACAGAGAAAAATGCTTTGCCACCCACAAAATATCTAAAATGGAGGCTAGATTAATAAAATGGGGGAAAGGGGTAGGTTTTTAGAGAAACTGTGGTGCTGTATTCGTGGTGGGTTGATACAAAATAATTTAGTTTTATCAACTGAATTGATAAAGTAAATTGACCTCCGTAAAGAGTTTTTAAGGCTGAAAGAACTAGAAACTCTATGGAACTCTATGGAACTCTTTATGTTGGCCGATTCACATAATTATAACCAACTCAGTTGATAAAACCACATTATCAGGATTAAAATAACGCTGCTACTTTATTCTTACCAACGGGGGCTGGTGCTTTACCTGTGGAGAGCGAAAAAACGAATGTAATTAGCATTTAAAATGTACACATTAATCCGAGCCTTCCTTAAAAAAACCACCTCTACTCGCAAAATTTGCACTCTTGGCGAAATTTTTGCACCGGGAGTTAGTCCTTCCTTATATTTCATTACTCGCCAAGCTCCTGTCGCTTTATAATGACGAGAACGGTTTTTTGAAAGACCTACCAAGGGCATAGAATTATGTCCAAGGAGCCTCATTGTTTCAAATGAGTGTCGAAAATAATCCGCGATAATATTGGTTTTGCTTCACTACGCTCTGTGATTGGTCCAGAAAACTTTTGCCACCTTCTTAACCAATGAGATGCAACAATAGAGCAATTCTAATGGAATGTCAAAAGTAAACCTTAACTTTGCTCTATGATTGGTCCATAAAACTCACACCACTATCTGAACCGTTTTCTCGTGCTTCAAGCAGTTTACTTGTTTTTTTACTTATATTTCTCAATGACTGTTAAGGTTATCTTCCTTCCTCCCGATTGGCCGTTGTGATTAATTTGGTTTTGGTTTACAACACTTCATCTAAAAGCGCTCGAACACCAACCGCGACTTTGTCACTTGCGTTTTCTTGCGCTTTTGGTGGTTTATTCTTTGCTGATTTGAGTCTTGATGGGCCTCTTGTAATTTTCGTTTCTGTGATTCGCCTGGTTACTTTGGTTATGATTAAACGAAATTTAATCGAAATGTGCCCCAGAAGATATCATAACAATACTTACAGAATTTACAAGTCTTGCGGCATTGTTTAACTGCCGGCGTGTTCTTGTGCCTCGAGCAGTATTCGTCTAAATTTTCTCCTGGCCGCTTTGCTAATTCATTGGGGATCCAACTGCAATCTCTTTCGTCTTTACACTCTGCCGATATATAGTCAAAATATAGTCAACTTATGACATCACCTATAGTCTTCTGCAAAAATTAGTAGTTTAACTTAAAAAAATTATTTTTTTTTTTATGATTGTAGACCGATTTATTGCAGTAAAAAGAAAATCCTCATAGAAGTGGCATATATGCCCCACCAAATTTCCAAACCCCTTCCCACTCCCTCACCAAAATTGCGCGTCTGGCAGGGGGGAATATTTTTTTAAGTTTTATAGTAATTTCGAAACGAAAACTGTCAAGAACAATATATCAATGGGCATACCAGTAATAAAAGCGACGATCATAACGTTGTAGCATCATCTTTGCGATTTGATAGAGTGAGAGAGTCAAATTATCTTGTTTCCAGCAGAGTCCAGCAGACTGCAACGTCGAATTTTGTTTTAGAATGACCCAATTTCTCATTCCGTTCCACCTTTTTACACTCTGCGGTCCCTTTCTTCGTTAAATATGAATCAGAAAATTACCTTAATTATGCGACAGTTATATACCGTATTGTTGCCAATTATGAATAATTAATGAAGGTTATGGAAACACCCCTAGTACTGATAACGGTAGGATATGGGTTTTGAGTTTCAATAAAATATAGCACTGATGAAACAATAATCGGTCAATAAATAGATACATTCGATGCCAAGGAACAAATGAAGACAGTGACTTGCCTGCACTGTCAGCGAAGGAGTTGAAGTCCTCCGGGAAATCTGAGATATAAAATAAAAAAAAAATCGGAACTGTTGCACAGAAATTTGATAAGCAGAATTTAATCACAATGAAAATTGGAAGCTGAATTCAACAATCATAAAATTTTACTCACTGAGATAAAAAATTAAGTTGCGACCGTTGCACAGAATTTCAAAACACAGAAATTATCGACACTATAAACTTGGAAACAAGCTGAATTAATTCAACTGTCAAAAAGTTTTACTTACCGTGAGCAAATTCGCCTTTGATATTGCTTAACGGCACTGCTCTATTCAATTGGAAACTCATTACCAAGATCATTGACAAAGTCATAAGCATTTTCAAGCTCGCCATTTTTCCGTTTTGAAATAAGCGCGCTTTTAGGCACAAAGGGTATTTGATGTTGAGTACTCGACGTCACGTTCAAATTGAACACAAAAAAGCCTTCCTACCCTAAAATAGCTGTTGTAATGATCGTTCATATTCTAATTAAGCTTTGAACAAAGAGTATTTACAAAATGTTGAATAGTTCAAATTGTTTCGAAACATGTTCTGACTCTTACTTTGACCTGTCAATCACGCTGTGTTTGTTTGAATAAACTGCACGTATCGGCAAAACAGTTCTTTATTCAATATTTTTCTTCCAATATTTTCTTTCTTGATTGTATTTCAGTGTTCGATGGTGAGAGCACAGTCCCGACACCAGTGCATATGAGCCTAACAGACCAATAATTAGCGATGGCGTCCTATTTATAAACTAACTGACTGAGCGTTCCTTTGAAAATAATTAGTAAGGCAACATCATAATTGTCCAATGGAGCTTGAAATCTCCTAGCCGTTGAAGCAAAGTTGGTCAAATGGAAAGTCATTAAGTTTCGTAGGCTATAATTAATCTTCTGTTAGTGGCCTACTATATCGATCAGCCATAGGCTATTACCGATGCAAAATTTCAAACGAATGACCGGAAGATTTGTAAAACTTCTAGCTTGATTAAGAAGTGTAAATGTTGCTGGGAAGATTTTCGGAGAAAATTCAGCAGCGACATATTTTGGCGCCAAAAATTTGGTACGATTCACTTCAGAGCCGTGAGGGAATTTAATGCATATTTTATAAGCGTCAGATTAACATCAACCTGACTATCGTATTGTACTTACCAAAGTTAATCTCGTCAATAGAACTATGCAGAGGTACTGCATCGCTAAGATGCACGAATTCGGAAGTCAAGAATATTGAGAAGAATGTTACAAATAGTTTGAAAATTTCAATCTCATGCTTGGACTCCAGCTTTCAAAATTATTTCTGAACAGCAACACCACAGTCAGGTCTGTTCAAATTTGAAATTTGTCGATAGCCTCTTCAACGGCAAAAAATTCTTAAGAGATGCCTATTCATATCATAATTAGCTTTAAGAACTTCTTTTGAAATCTTATTCAATTATTTCAAGGCAATGTTTATTTTCAAAAGAGACTCCATAATCTTTTCGGCCAATCACGAGCGTTTGCTATAATATTGTTTACAAAACAAGGCCGTTGGGAACGCTTTTTGAACAGACAATTTCAATTAATTTACATTATACTGCACGAACAAATAAAAGAACTAAGTCTTCGTTGTAGTTACGAACTCTAAATCCTAGGTTGATACGTGCAGACCGCCTCGAGTTAAAAGTTGCATGATTAAAAAATTTCGTTGGATGGGTCGAGAGGTAACCAGGCAGCAAAGCCTTTCACCTTTGAAAGCCTTGAAGGAATGAAAGAGTAAATTCTCACTACGACGTCAAAACGTCTGGTAAACTGGTGAAGAGAATTGAAAGACGTTTTAGTATTGATATAAAACCTAATTCTCTCAACTTTGTTGCGAGGAATAAATTGTCTGCTGGTTTTGAGAATCTTTAATCAGATCATGGGTTAGATTTTAAAGGGTTACGTTTGCTGGATACTTACGTGGATCGTTTTTCTCCACGAAAACGCTCATGGGAACACCTGACCAACTTAATCCACGTTGAGGTGCGCCATTGAGGGCGGAAAATTGGACAGCGATGAGAAAAAAACTGATGCAATACAGGCTGTTCATCTTTGCTTTCTGCAGAAATAAGATACATTCAGGTTGGAGAGCTGAGAAATAAGCCCTTATATTCATGTATAGCGTAAATTTATTTAATTTATCATTGACAGAGGAGCTGAGCTCATTACTAACGATCAAAGAAGTAGGTCGTACTTTTGGAGTTTGAACCATATTCTGTGTTGCCGATTTGAAAAGGTCTAAAACGTTTTGTGTCTCCTTAACAAAGATTAACAAGTCCTGGATGGCACTTTCCAATAGATTATCTCTATCGAAAATAGCAATTGAGAAACACAATTAAATAATTTGGGATTGGATTGGCTCGGATGCCCTCAACTAAGCTATTTGACCTACCTAGAGATTTCAACCCACCACTTCAACAAATCAAATGCAAAACCAAACTCGATCAATCGCGACTCAACGATTCACGCTCCCCAGCGCTTGTTGTCGGCTATTTTTATATACTTAAGTCTCCGTTTGACTTCATCGATATTAGCCCTTGTTCTTTATTGTTTGGTTGGTGTTTCTGATCTGTCTAATTATTACAATACTCAATCGAATAGTGCCCTGAGCAAGTTTTGTTTCACGGACGCCAGCTTAATTTGTGCTCTCGAATAGTGCTGATAAATGAAAAGGAATCGTTTGCTGAAAGGTTTGAAAAACATTTAATGAAATATTTAATGACCACCCCAGACAACTTTTTTTTTTACGAAATATTTCAAAGGCATGGTACGAATCAATGTAAACAAAAACAACAGTTTTACAATTTCAAAATCATACAGAATATGATTTTATAGTTTGCATTTTCGAAAACGTATCATCGACTAAAATCAAACTTTATGTGATGTTGATCTTTAAAAAACAGTAAACTTACCCTCGCAAGCTCGTTACAAAGTCAGAAACATGGATGGAATGCGAAAAAAGAAAAAAACACAAGTTATATATGCTGTATCGTATTAAAAAATTGGCAGCTTATATTTATCATAAATTTTTCTGACGCCTAGTCGACTCCGAAAAAGAAAATACTAACAATATAGAGCTTTCTGGCTAAATTGCGGTAACAGTATTGCGGTAACAGTATTGTCGTGGTATTACGCCTTCGGCATGTTAAAGTATGTAAACAAAATGCCGTAACGGATCTGTCAATGAATATAATGTTAAAAGAAAGAACCCGTTTTTGATACTCAGTCAGTGTCAGTCGTCTCGCCAATTAATCTTTTGTTGAAAAAACAAACACCTTGGAAAGAAAGCTGAGAGGCAAAGGTATCAATGAGAAGAAGAAGAAAAAAAAAAAACGGCTGAACCCCCATGGGGTTTCACAGTGTACAGAGAGAACCAGGGAGCGACAAAGTAAAGAGGGGGGTTCTACGAATAAGATTCTCGGGAAAAACTAGAAAAGATATTAATTGAATGATATTTTTCAGAAAAAAGGTAATTTTTGACATGTAGATAAAAATTGTGAGAAGGGAGAGGTGAATTTTCGAAGCCCTGTGTCATTAAACTTCTATTTAAAGCATCTTTGAAGCCATTTATGAAGTAGGAGTGAGGGAAGGGGAGGGGAGGGAGGAGAAGGTTTTTTTTTTTTGTTTGTTTTTTTTAGCGATAGGACAAAAAGTCAATTGGTATTTCTTTGCAGATTGTAAATTGTAGTTTTTTATAGTTCTAAATCTGCACCGATCTTGCAAAGGTTGTCACGGGTCTTAGCTTATCAAAAAACGCATGACATGGCTTCAGTACGTTTTAACTTATCGATTTAAAAATGTTCATATATAGATTTTAGGAATATTAGCGGATACATGACATGTTGGGCTTTAATTTATCTCGGCTCAGTATCTGTGGTAAGAAGTGCAGCTATTGTTACATTCTAAATTCTCGACCGCACCTTCATCCAAGATGAAAACTAAATAACGAAATTATTGAAGAGGGCTTTCCCAAAATGTTTGAATTCTTTTACTGGTAACATAAAACAAATTTTTGTTGGAGCTAGAGATATTTGCTTTTGGAGGGAATGTCTTTGCAGTTCTATATCAATACAATTGCTTTGTTTTTTTGCTTTTTTCGAAAAGGAATGAAACCTTTCAGTAATGACTAGCGGAAGTGACTGATATGGACCGCATTTTATCATGAAGTGAAAATACTAGCTTGCAAAAATAATTGCGAAGATGGATGTGATTAGTAGAACACTGTTTTCGTTTGTTGTTGTTTTTAAAACTGTTAATGCTATTGACACTCTCAAAATAAAGCAACATTTTCTGTGGGTCAATTGTTAGTTCAAATAAGGAGGGGCACATTCTGTGCATAAACTTGTAACGGCGTGGAAATAATATTCACAAAGAGATTTTGGAACTTGAAAGCATCTAGTATATGACGAGACTCTTTTAGGTCCAGTTTACCAACAGAAGACGACAATATAACTTTCCTGACTTGCGAGGCACAGTCAGCCAACAGTGAAAACGTTTGCGCTTGGGTAATTAAACCACGATATTGTGGCGACGTGAACGTAACATTTATAAAACAGAAATCAGTAAGGAAATGCTTTCAATATCCGAATCAGTAAAATCACGGTTCATTTTTCTCTTATTTGAGCTTTCTTGTTCGATTTTCAGTGAACATTGTCCAGACATACAATACAAAACAATAGTTAAGTAAGGGACAAGAAGCTGACCGTGTTAACCCTTTCACTGCAAGATCTCATTAGTAATCTCCTTACTGCATGCCCTATAATCCTTATAATGTTAGTTCGGAGATTTTGATATTGGATCAATTAATAATCACCTAATTGATATTTTTCTTTATTCTTATCACTTGTTTGCTCGATATTGTATTGATATTGTATGAAAAAATTATATCTTGGTCACTCATGAGAGCAAGGGTTAACGGTGAAAACGACCGAGTAGTACAGTCTAAACCTCAGTCAACACTCCGGTCGATGGAAGAAAGCCCCCGTAAGAGTACATAATTTACAGTCTCGACCAGATGAACAAAAATCTACCATGAGATCATTCTCTCTTATCTTGATACTTTCTCTGATCTCAAGATGTCGGCTCGGGTAGATTCTACGATATAACGAAAAATTTTGTATTTCCATGGAATCAACGGAAATTTGATTAGAAATATTTATCAGTTTCAAACACGTCTTTCTAAATATTATAGGACACTGGGTATTGCGGCGCAAATAGATCAAGTTACCTGCTGGGACATGAAATATGCGTGGGAACAGTTACAGGCAGAAACATAACAGAAACGGAATGACGAAGGAAAATGTCCTGGGATACAGAGCAAGATACTGAAGGAAACTTTCCACGTGGATACGAGATGCTGAAGATAAAAAAAGCGAAAAATGCTATCGTAAAAACTTTAAAATTAATATATTTTAAACTGATTGATCTTAATTTACAACCTTTTATAGCTCATATCAGGGAGAGATTGAGAGCTCGATTACCATCCACTGTCTGGGAAATGAGCCCGCGCTCCTTGTCCAAACGGTGGAAATAGAGTTTTGGAGGGATGCAGGAGATTGATCATGACGAAAAAAGAAATTGGATACGTCATTCCGAGTTTGAAAGGAAGAAGGCACGAAGTTCCTCATGGGACAGAAAGGCAAATACAAAGCAAATTTTTTTAAGCTTATCATCTCTACTCTCATCTAATTGACAGACATCCATCCCCAGAGGGTGGAGAATCTGAACCTTACCTGGCTGGGGTGGGGAATTTGAACCGGAATTTTCCAAGTCTTTTCAGCGGAATACAAGTGGTGTATCTTTAAATATGGAGGTGTTTTGTCGTTCACTTTCGTCAGCGAAGGGCTCTATCAGACGAAGTGATCTACCACGTCTATGTTTTTAAGTTTGGTAAACGTGTAGAAAATCACAGTCGCAGGCAGGAGGGGAATTTGAACAAACTAATGTCCAAAAGTTTAATGTGCTGAATGTTGTTGGGATGTTGGAACTTAAAATTGATCGACGCGTATAAGTTGAAGTCTATATCGAGGAAAGTGTGATTTAATTCATCAAGCAATCGCTATTCAATTAAGTTCGTATTTCTGCGCATGGACCAGCTGACTGATGATATCGTTGGTTACGTGACATAATTTCTGGCGGCGAAGCTTCGACAGCGAGCAACAAGCGTACCCCGACTTCACTCTCCTTGCGCGGTTAGTACGTTCGAAGGCCAATTGTGCGACAGCGCACAAGCCTCTTTTGTAACTGCGCAGGGGGCAGATAAAAAAAGGAAAAAAAAGGTAAAAGCGAAAAATAAAACTCTTCAAGCTTAGAGTAACGGTCGGTGTTTTCCCGCTTGATGAAATACAATGTTATAGCGCAGTACACTTATTGTAAGCCTTCAATTAAGCACGTGACCACAAGCTACGGTGCGTCATTAGATTTACACATGAGTGCTTTATTCTGCTCTAAATTTACAAATATGTAAATATATTACTTAACAAATTGTATCGATGACACAACATCTGTTTCATTTCTCTCCGTTAATACATAAATATTTTTAAAGCAATTACAAGAAGAGAGTTGCCGCTAATTATTTAGGCTCTTCCGAGCTTACTCGAGTAATCTATCAATTGTTGAAGAAAGCCGTCGTTAGGTGAAATTTCTCGCTTGCTCCGCACGATTCTCACCGCCTCCTTAAGTTCCATTTCTTGATCTCTCACTAAGTAGGCCAAGACAAGGCTTGCGGATCGGCTAACGCCCTCCTTACAGTGGACATAAATCTTCCCGTTAAGCTTTTCAGAGTTCTTGGTTCCGACCGCTTTGGCGATGAAATCGCACGCTTCGTCAAAATAGCGGTCAAGTTTGAAAGTGAACATATCCATGGCAGGTATGCCATGGTAGATGATGCCAGATCCCCTATAATAATCAGGGCCTGTTTGGACGTGGTAATACTTGTTTCCATGCGCGGCATTCAGTATATGGGTGATGCCAAGGTCTTGTAGCTCCCCTTCATTCATGGCCGTTGATCTGGAAAGAAACAGGGTAGAGATACGTAATATTACCGACCATAAAGACCGGATTCAGCCCAGCTCGAGCGAGCGAGAAGTCACGCGCGAGGTTCAGATGACGACGCTCTTCTCCCGCAATTGTGATCTCACTCAGGCGCGTGATTCGCATTCTTGCTGACTTATGCACGCACACTTTTCGCGCACAAGACCACACAACAAAATTTTTCAGTTACAGCACGAATTACGACCAGTGCGAAGCCTTTAATTTTTTCTCTCACTCGAAAATCGATGATATATTTCACAAAAAAAGAGGAGAATAGCTTTCTTTTGTTACCTCTAGATTTCTGGGAATGGTTTAAATGCAATATTTTTTTGGCAAAAAAGTATTTTTGAAGGAAAAGCAGACTCTCCACTGAGAGTGGCTTCGATACCACGAAATCTGCCTCATGAATGGAAAAAAGAAATAGAATGAAAGATATATAGCGAAAGATGAAACATACCGACATGTTACGTGTAAATGTCCTAAAACTTAGTATTCGCGACAAACAACACAGAAGCCTTCTGGAGAAAAGAGTTTTTATTTCAGGTTACCCCTGTCCTAATCCTCCAATGCAGTTTGTTTATATCTCGATTTTTAATCAAAAGAGAGTATGTGGGACCTCTAGATATATATTTAGCAAATAGATTCCAAGTTGCCGAGCGTCTGTTCAGTAATAGATTACAGATGACGTCAAAACTACGGTAAGAACAAAAAAGTGACAAACGAGGCGCAGCCGTGTGTGTCACTGATGACGTCATCTATACGTCTGTCCTCCAATAGATCATAAGTGAGAACCAATCAGAATGCATGCACAACTGAGCTTATTATATAAAAATGGATGATATTTCCCTGAAAACAGCTGCCCATCACTTGGTAGACTTTTCTGAAAACCAGCACTTTTCGCCCAAGTTGGGGCCTGAAACAACGTTACCATGGAAAAAAAAAGACACCCATCAAGACTGTAGCGACAGTCGGTGTCAGAGGATGTGATGTTGCAATGAATACTGCTAAAGCTAAAAATGGTTAAATTTTCTGGGATGACCACCTTCAACTCGGAAATTTGATGAGTGACCGAAATGGCCCACTTGGCAAGGCACAATAATTCCCTCTCATGAGTATGCAGGTGAGAGAATTATTGTGCCTTGCAACCTCGTCTAACAAATTTTTTAGTGAAAACAAAAACGACAACGACAAACATAACAAAGGAAAATAAAGTGCGGAAACACAATATGGAAATTAAGCATGTTTTGCGTCTACTCGCTCAAAGATAGCTTTAACGCAGATGTTACACGCCCACTCAATAATCCCCCAAAATTTGTTTTTGAGGATTACCTGAGAAGCGACAATTAAGTTTGTGAGGAAAATGCAAGTACTCTGAAAGATTAAATCTCTTTTTTGAAGTCAACAAGTGTGATAACTTTCCGTGAAAAAAGTCCATTTTAAAATCGTTATCCAAATTTCTGTGCGTTACGGGCAGAAGGCGTTACTTGCGTGACAAAATGTGCCACACTACCGGACGTGGATGCCACGTTCGGTACATCTGCGGCGCTGCACATTTGTTCTTATTTTTTTTAAGAGCGAAAGAAGACTTTTTAATTTAAAAACGTCAATGCCAGGCAATCGACTTCCTTTGCTGCATGGCACCAAATGTAAAGGGCAGGAACTCGGGATAGAGCGATTAGAATATTTTATCTTAAAATCTGAATTAAATTGCTATGATCTCCGAGGACAATTTCAATCCCTTCGTGAAATACAAAAAGGAATGAGAAACCACCTCTTCGCCTGAGAAAAATTAACCTGATGAGCAACGTGATGCTGTACTCGTTTAGGATTCACATGGAGCGCTCGCTGTCAAAACAACATGTGAAAGAATTCGCAGAAGAGCTCAGAGGAAAAGTACCTAAAATATCTAAATCCCAAGCTTTGACGAACAAAGCTATCTAAACCATGATTGATCTTCAATCTCACTTAAAATGGCTCAGAGAATCAACTCTTCGAAGAACAGCTGAAAACAACTAACAATGTTCATAGCTCACTATATAAAACAGCTGGAAAAATTAAACTGCACTTACGCTTCGCCAATGAAGATTCCGTTGAAAACTTCGTTGTAAGCATCATTAGGCATCATATAGAAACCACCAGCAGGCTCAGTTATAATAAATTGTAAGTCCTTGACGGTGGTTTTCGGAGAAAGTGAGGACGCAGCTCTAGACACCTCCTGCTCTTCAGCCATTTTGTTTGTTTGGCAACGACTGGTTCCGGTTTGCAATATTGAATTGCATTATGGGCCGACTTAAGATGGCGGTCGTGGGACATGTCTTTTCCGCTTCAACAGGTGAAAGGGTTTAATTAAGTCAAACTCGTTGACATGGACACGAAAGTACGGTCGTAACGGATTATGCTACAGTCTCAACGAGAATACCATCGTATACGGTGGTCCTATAGATTTATTTTTGGTTATACAAAGAGGAATCTGGTGTTGGAAACTGAACACAAACAGAAAGAAAGATGGTTGAAGTCGACATCGTAGAATTAACAGTCACATGTGTAGCAGCGGCGATAATTATAGCAGCCCTTGGTGTTTTGTTATTCTACTTCTGCACAACTCGAACGCAAAGACAGAGATGCCGCAAAAGATGCACAAACTCACGTCAAAGTGTCGAACACGTGCAGAGCCAAAGAGCACCAAATAGCTAAGAGCAGTGAAAAAGAGAAAAACTGTAATCCCCGTCCCAACCAGCGATATGGAGGAGACCTCGTTGAGAAATTGAAATATTGTGTCACGATACATCGACAAAATTCTGTCCTACAAAAGATTAAAGGAGAGACAAATGATAGAGTTTTACGGGATGGAAAATGATACTGAAACTGCAACAGTATTAACAACAGAAAGAGTAAAATAGCATTGGGGAACAACAAAGAGACTTTGAGTGAAGTAAACTATAAGATTGTCTGCAAGACTCTCGCACATATTTCAGAAATAATCTATTACAAGCTGAAAAATGTGTTTAATCCTTCAAGGAAAACTTATTTAAAATGATTCTTGAAATATTACTAACCACAAACATGGTACACCTTATTAAAAACAAATCTTACATCATAAAGAAAAAGCTACAATTCTGTTAAGAAATTGACAACAATCGACAAATTATATCTGATGAGGTTTTACCCTTTAAGCCCTGTTTACAAATTGAATTTTTGTGTTAAAAGATTTGAGAGGACCATCCACTTTAGGCTTTGATAATATGGTATACATTTTGAAGCTTATTTCAATTGAGTGTCTGACAACGAAAACCAGATTATTCACAGTGGCTGATCAGAAGAAAGGAAAATATCACAAGGAGGCAATAATAACTTAACCCAGTAACTCTCAATGTCTGATTGTCAATTCTCTCCTCCAGCTGCTATATATTTCCTAGTAAATTAGCTACAAGAATTCACTGTTAGATCAAGACAACAACTTCTACCTGATAAGTTTGAGTATTCTCGTCAGCCGTTTGCTGGAGAGAGTATGGATATTAAAGGGAGAAGTTAGATGTTAATCACCTCTGGGAGTTAAAGGGTTAAAGTAAAAACAAGCTAATGCATGAGGCACAGTCAGGAAAATGTGGGGGATCAAGCAGTGATAAGCTTTAGTTCTGCATCTCAATGGAAGCAAGTTTTTAAGACTGAACATAGAGTGCCATGAAGTAAAACCAAACCAATTCTGCTTTACCTTGGACACTCAATAGGAATTAAGGAGTTGAACATCACAACTGCTGATGCTTTAGCCAATTTGAGCCATAAATCAAGTGAGAATGTAGTAAGAGTCAGTTGTCCATCTGTAATCACAGGACAGAAATAGTTTCCTCTATATTCTGTGATCAACATGCTTGGTCACTCCCAAATCATTTTCTTTTGCTCTAGTTCTTCTCTCTGCTTGTCTTGTATCTGCTCTAATTCTTCTTCAGTTGTTGCCTCAGTTAAATCCACGTCCAGCTCTTCTGTTCTCTCTAGGGCTTCCTTCATGAGCGCTTTTGGACTTGGTAGTTTCATAAATGCATCAAATACAGTTGGCACGCTGAGTATCTGTTGATCACCTAGGTAAAGGAATGAGCACAGCTGTCATTAAAATCTTGTCAACTTTTCATCTTGGATCTTTTATGACATTTTCATCGAAAAGTTAATTATTGACCTCTTGAAGGAACTGTTACTTCACATGGTCTATTTGAGAGTTTGTGCAGGACTTAGAAAGTAATGGACATTTCAGTCTGGGCTGGAGAAGTAGTCTGAAATGGCCAGAGATTGATTTTAAAGTACAAATTTGACATGGAAGCACAAAAAAGGACAAGAAAAGATGGAAATATAAATGATCACACAATTACATATATGAACTCTGTTGCAAACCATAATTCAAAATCCTGATGCAGGCCATGAATCAATGAAGTAATCATAGTCATGTACCTCTCTGTTTTGTGACAAGAAGTCCTAAGTTCTCCAGTTGTTTTAAAGGCTCTAATGGATCATATTTCAGTGTCACTTGAAACTTGAGATTCATCCAATCCTCTACATGCTGCTTCAGCTCACCAACTGTCATTCCTTCAGAGTGCAACCCAGTTCTGTGACCACCACCTAGACAAAGTTATTTACAGAGAGGTATAAAGATAAACCAGTTCACCAGTTTCAGTCAGTGATCAATTCTGTTACTCTCATGACCTTAGTAAATGATTAGGCAGTATTGATGTCAGGAGAATTAAATACTGGTCACTCTTAAGGCTTTAAAGGGTTAAGGAAAGACTGAGAGCAGGCAAGGAAAGTATACCAAAGCTTTCCCATGCCAAATGTTGAAATTAATGAAAGAGGGGCTGTCAGGAGGCAAAAGAAAGGGAACTGACTGAGCTAGCTGATTCAAACATAAATCCAAAAGAAAAAAACTCAGTCCATAACTTGCAGTAAGGAGCTCAGATTAAGACAGTAAGAGGTATTCATTATGCACAATTTGTGAATCAAATTTCAAGAACTGATATAATTAAGTTCAGAACAACCTAGCCAAGAACAATAACCATAAAACAGACATTTGAATAAAAATTAAATATTTCCTAAAGTACCTGATAAGTTTAAAGGAGCTTGAAGGAAGCTGTATGCCAAAAGGGTTCCCTTAAACACCTCATCTTCAGCTCTGTCAGCCAGCAAAGTAAATAAGGCACGATTGTTTGCAATGGCCTTAAAGTAGAGGGTCTGTGACAAGCGCACAAGATAAGAATTCCTTTTGTTTTTGTAAATCGTCCATGCTCTTGCAGCCACAACTCCTGCCACAGATATGGCAATATAAATCCATGATATCTTGTAATCAGCCAGGAAAGAAACAAGCTTTATCACTACACTTGCTGCACCAATAGTCAAAGTTGCTGCCAATACTCGTTGATCAAACTTCGTCATCCTTATTTTTCCTTCTGGAAGTAACTGCTCCAGATTGGCACATCGAATGTCCTTGAAGGACTTAAGCATTAGTTTACTCTGCTTTTTAGCACGAATGGCGATAACCACCCTCTTGTATCTCTCAGCCTTTATCGGTGGTTTAAACCTTTTAACAACTCTACTGGCAACTCTGGAGTACCATTGACCTGTGTTGTCAGGTTCAAACTCTTTTCCAACAACCCACACCCGCAGAACATCATATTTCTTCGGGTCAACACTGACAAGTACACCGTCTCCGGCATCATGTTCTTTTAAGGCACTGCGCACATCTTCAACAGGTAACTCATAAAAGTGAGCCTTTTCTAACAGTTGAGATAACTTTTCCAGTAGCCAGAATTCATTGTCAAGTCTTTCCTTCTTGGAAGTTTTATGGAGCGTTAAGGTCTCTTTGTCAGGGTTCAAAGGATCATACAAAGCCTTAAGAAGAAAAAAATTGTTTTTGGTTTGTTTTTCTTTTAACTTTCATTTGCAATGGTATATAAAAAAAAAACTCATGTGAAAGCATTGTGGCTTCCTCACCAACTTTAGTCTTTACACTTGTACCTTGACAATTAATTAAATTAATAGCAAAATTTTAATAGAAAAAAATAGGGCTGGTGTAATAAAGTGACAAGTGCAAATAGAGGTAAAAACGGCATTAGATAACCTCCTTTTTGCTCCTATTCTTGATTCATTGTCCTGCTTCCTTGATAAGGAGCTTGCTCCACTAGTTTACCACTCTCTATTAAAAGAGGGTCAAACCAAATGTGAATGTGATGTATCCTACGGGGTAATCCCACAGAGACTTTTTCCACTATGCAGGGTTAGGTCATCATTTAATTTGGACAGGAAAAGGTTTTGGAAATCAAGGTATAGAGGTATTCTGAAGGGGTAGTTTGTGGGGTGCTGGTTGCTCACTGCAGGTCTCCTGCAGAAGGGGCTCGTCTCTGCCGATTACTCGACGTTGCTACCTTATGTGGTCTTGACGAATTGAAATTTGTCATGTTTCTTCTTCTAACTTCCTAAGTTCAACGAATCATTTATTAAAACGTATCTTTGCTTCTGATTTTCTTGCGGATGGTGACAACAGCGGTGACTTACCTTCAACTCCCCAAGAACTCCGTGAAACGTCCCAGCTATGGCATTGTCCAAGTTCACTGCAAGATTTTGAAAGTAACTTCTGTCATTCGAGTTTATCAGGTTCTCGTCTTCTACTATTCGCCTTATAAGAGCTTTTCTTGTCATAGGAACAAATTTTTGAGGGACGTAGTATTCAGATGTACCAGGCGTTCCTTGTTTAAGTGCAGTCGTTTGTTCCAGTTGATCATCCTTTCTTAAGCCAAACGGGTTGGGCCATTTGAGGAAAGACGACACAGAAGCTCGTTGAAATTTTTTATATTTTCCAGTCCAATTAGGAATAGAAAAAATGTATTTTCTGCCATATGGAAGCATTCTCGCCCTCTTGGTCGCGCAAGAAACGGGATGAAAGGTCTCGATGATGAACTTTGGCCTCAAAAGATTGGGCATGAGTCTACATCAGGCTCTTTCGGCTGGCACGCTCATCTGGATCACAAAATAATTACCTGCGACGAATTCAACTCTGAATTTCCTTACAATTAGCGCAAACCTTCTTCAAACGTGCGCACCCCACTTCATTCGAGATTAAAAATAAGCAACTTAAGCTCAAAGAGTTAGATTATAGATAGATCACCTGCGTTATCCCGCACTTTTGGCAGTTTACTTTTTTCTGTCGTGATTTCTCAGTCACGGGCTTCTTGTGATAATTCCCTTACTTTTAATTGGTCTCTGTGAAGAATTTGGTTTTGATTTTACGTCAACGGATTGAAAATTTTGAAATGAGCCCTTAACTGTAACATGGAAGCCCTAAGGTAAGGAGATTTGCTCGTGAAACGGGAGACGAACAACAACAATGTAAGAGCCTTAAGACATCCGGCTTTTGTAATTAAGAGCAAACTCTTTTCTCCTTTGTGATTGAATCAATTTAGGATCTCCTAATGTCTCAGGTTAATTGAAAGAAGTATCCGGCGCATACGCTCATCCATCAAACTGATTTTACCAACCACTCTCAACCCTTTAATAAACGCGCAAGATCTCATCAGTAATTCTCCTTACTGTCTGCCGTACAATTCTTGTGATACTAGTTCTGAGAATTTGGTACTGGATCAATTAGAAAATCCTCAAACTTACATTTTTCTATATCCTCATCACCTGTCTGAGTGATATTGTGCTGATTTTGTACGGAGAAATTCTGTTTAGGTCACTCATGGGAATTAAAGGGTTAGCTGAGTTTTTTTTCGGTAGGCATAGTAGAAGGTTGCCTTTGTGGGATGCAAACAGTCTAAAACAATGGGAAAAGGTTAAAAAATGTGAGACTTTAGCAAACTGGTCTGTAAATTAGGTTAAAAAAAGGTGAAAATAAGTCTATGTAACAAGAGAAGTTAATTAAGAAGAACGCGCGTCACAGTTGGTGAAGCAAGAATGCCAAATAGAATAATGTAACATGGAACTTCTCACTGTCTGCAATTAATCGATTGTACGCTAAGGCCGGAAGATACTTACGATGGTTGCGAGCAAGATGATTTTTTATCTAATTTTCTCTAGTGTTAAGTTAGTGATTATAGGAAAATGACCATGAAAGCAGAGCTCATTTATACCGTTTGTTGTCGCCATAAGCCTCATTTTTCAAACTTACCGCAGTCTCACGGCACGCAAGCGAGAAAAAGGGAAGATGAGAGAGTCTGGATTAATCAAATGAGAAATTTGACTTGTCCTCTTTTATACTTGGAAAATCAGGTTCCATGCAGTGACAACGGGATTTAATTTTGTTGCTAGTCGGTCGCTACGGTGGAATTTGAATGGTACAGTGATACGTGGGTAAGGGCGGGGACGTCTACCTACTCCCACATCCCTGATGAACGATCCCTGGTAACTGAAGTAAATATTTTTACCGATCATTTGCTTAGCATGGCATCGTGACCTCATGAGACTTATACTATGGCTATAGCTTTTCCAAGTTTTATTGGAATCCTGCTCCGGGAGATTGTTGTTTTTTTTAAGTTAGGTATTAATCTTATATGGATGCGATCAGTAACTTCTTAGTGTATTCGCCCGGTTGGAACTGGAAACCATGCAAATACTGTCGAACACCCAGGGTGCGGTATGGAGTTTTATCGATGAAATCCTCTGTTATGAAGTTTCTGAACAACAATAGGAGCCACACCTGACAACTAAATCTTTGAATGATTTATACAGTTTGTGGTAAGGCGGTATTCTACTCCTAAGGAAGACGCGGTTGTTTCCCTTTATGCCTGTTTTGTTCCTAACAGACTTCTCAAGTCTTATCTATGACGAGAATACTCCACAAAATTGTCTGGAATTGTGTTTGGTTACGAAAAAAAATGCTTTGTTCTCGGCCTCGAAGCCCTGAATAAATTTGATTTTTTGCCAGATGTGGAAACACCTGCACCTAGCCGCCTCGGAAGGGACGCGCAACAAGTGGGTGATATTTCTAGAAAAAAATTAAAATGTCTGCCTTTACCTAACAGAAGTTAAACGAGAAAACTCGACAAAAATTTGCCAATATAGAAGGGATTGTTGACCATAGAATTAATCGTTGTACGTGACATTCGGAAGGAAATCCCCGGCGCAACTTTGAGCTCACTTCACTTCCGGTTCTCAACAAAGCCTGTAAGCATGCGCAAAGACGCGCGCGCGATAAATACTGAAGACGAACAGAAGAAGGCGTGTTGTGTTTTGTGTGGAGTCTGAGAGTTTATAGAGCGGAAAATTTGCCTTCCAGCGATGGGTTAGTAATATTTAGTCGTTTAAGAGGCGAATACTTGCAATATTTTTTGCATTGTGGGCGTTCCTTTGAGTTTGGACGGGCAAACGATCGATGTTGCGGCGTATCGGTCGCAGAAGAGAGCTGGGGCTTATATTTTGCTTTGACCGCTGCTGTGGCTTGAAGCGCAGTCCTCAATAACTGGTTTACAATTTTATCATTTATTTATAACGTTCAGCTTCTTGTCATACTCATTCGTATCCGTCTTCTAACTTTTTCCCTCGGTGAACGGACTTTCCGCCAACACATGATGGCTTCGATCAAAAAATATTCATTCACGACGAAAGCGGTGAGTACAGCTTGTCAATTCCGATTTGTTTTCCGATAAATATCTTTCAGTTTGGCTCTTGCCTAAACAACAGATTTGTATGTTTTCTACTGCACAGAGCGCTAAAGGTATGGAGGGCTACGTTGGTTTTGCTAATCTTCCAAACCAAGTTTTTCGCAAGAGTGTCAAGAAAGGATTCGAATTCACCGTCATGGTGGTCGGTAGGTAACATGCTTGGTGCTGAAATTACGGAAGAGAAATGTGTTGGAATAAATTAATTTGTGTTTGAACACATTTTACTGCTTCCTTCTGCTTTACTTTAGTAGGGATTAAGTCACACCAGAAGTGTAACTCTGTAAAATTTTGGGGAATCTCGCTTAGAGTATGAACCCGGCATGTTTGCGGCATGGCGTGAGAAGACACAAGACATTTATATTTCACTTGACGGAGAAAGTTCCAGTTTTTGAGCCATTGTTTCGGTACTGTTCGATGAAGACTCGTATATTACGCTCTCAAAAGAAACTAATCACCCTTTGTCACCATCTGATTTGCTGTTAATCGTGAATCAGGAAATTTCGTGTCATTATGTTTAATATAACCCGCATGTGACTCGATCGTGGTTTCGTTGCGCCAGCTTTACTATTACCTGTCAATTTTTAAGTGAATATTATATCCAAATTCGGCGGCCGATCTCGATAGCGTTTGTATAGATACATCATAATATTTACATGCAGGTTATCTAGGAACAAAACCGAAAAAAAAACAAATAGAAATATTGCACGAACACATGCTAACCAAGTAGGTAGAAATTCATGTAAATTTCATTTTCATGTGTTTCAACCCTAACACTTTATGTGCGTGATTCCTGAAGAAACATTCTCCATGCTCTTGAGGTTAAATTTGAGTAATTGATATGAATCAAGAGGCGCCAATGACTCTTATCTTTGATTTCTACATAGCGATGAAACATTCCCGATGCAATATGGAAGTTTCATTACTTTCGTGTCAGATGAATATGTTCGCTTTGATAAGACGGTACTTGAAGTTTTAAATTTAAGACTTGTGTTAGATCGAACAGTTGTTGAGCAATTAATCATTACTTTTTTTTTTTCTTGATGACCATGTCTAGTATTTTCTTGTCTTCGGCGTCTGTGCCCTTGTGTTATTTTCAATTCAAGAATTTTGGCCGAATTTTTATTTCGTGAAATGTCACGTAATTCTAGATGCATTTTTAATCCTCTTTGCGGGACGTAGCTGTAGTCGAGCTGTCAAAACTTTTCCTTTCTGTCACCTATTCCCAATACATTTTGCATATTTTGCCAATTTAATTTCCTTTGAGGACGATTGTCCGGTGAAATTTTATTTGAATTTAACATCTGCCTGTAAATTGATTACTTTCTTCGAGTCCACATGGAATCAGGTGCGAAATCTCCACGTGTGATTCAAACTGAGACAGATGTATGAAACTCTACAGAAATGAGTGATTATTTTGTTTTTCTTTCGACCACCATGGCTATAAACGTACTTTGCTAGGATATTTGTGACAGCAAGAGATTACCACCAGTTGTCCAAATATTTTTCTTTTTGAAACATGTCATTTCTCCAAAGTACTAATTTAAATTCTTGTCAAGAAATGTTTATTGTGTAAGTAAGCAAGGTTTTTTAAGGGGGCCTTTTATTTATTTCCATATTTTCCACAAACTTTTATTAAACTTAGATCCTTTTTTTTTTTTATGAGAAGGACTTGTAACCATGTGAATTTGTTTTTATCTTTCTGTAAATTGCATCTCTGTGGGAATCCTTGGAGCTTGGATTCACCAGGAGGATTTCTCTCTATTGTTTTACCTTGAGATTACTTTGAAGTATTTCCTATGGTACATCCACCCATCTTTTGTGGTCAGCCACTTTATTGTGACTTTGTTAATGCAGTCCGTTTACCACTGCCATTAATTGTAACTTTGCCAAAATTGTGAAATTGGTGTTTACTTGCTGTACTTCAAACATCCTCTTAACGAAGTTCAAAATGTTTCTCAAAGTTTAGTTGTGTTAATTTTTTCCACAGGTGACTGTTACTAAACTTGTATTTATGATTGCAGAGACATTTCATGTCCAATTATGTTTAGAGATTTGAATGTTATAATTCAAACACCACCAAAATCTTCAGATTTGGAAAATTGTATTTCCTTGTAAATTCTTTTAAACAGGGAATGTCAGTTTTACAGCAACAGATTATATACTTCTGAAAGGGTTTTGTTTTTTTATTCATTAACCGTACATGAAGGTGATGCTAATCAACAGCTGTTTTCTCTTCTTAACTTTTATATGAAAACTTCTCTAAGAAATTGTTCCCAATGGTGCTATTTACACAGTTTTTGTCTGACTTTTTTTTCACTGGTTTTTTTTTAATGGAGATACAGACTAAATTTTGTAAATTTAAAATGTCCCCATGTTGTAAAATTCTGAGTTTTTTTTAATTTGTAGTGTGTTACTTCCTTTGGGTTTGAGAGATAAACAAGATTGCAAAAAAAAAATTAGCTCAGTGATGTTATCAGTACATGTATTAATGAAGAGGCTTGGTGAAATGTGATATACATTGCATTGTATTTGAGAACCAACTTTGTTAATCTATCCTGAGCTTTTTTATTTCAATCACTGTTCTTGATCCAAAGTAAACTGAGGTTGAATTTCAATTGGTTACTTAGAATTTCTCATTCTCTCTGTAGATCCATAGGAACCTATAATTATTTGTTATTATACTACACTGTATATTACTTTAGTGGCAAGATTCATCTTTACCTGTCTGGTTGATAGCTTGCTAATGGTGTTAGCCTAAATATCAGTTGTAATTTTAATAGTAACCAACCAGATTTTTATCTTCCTTGTTCTTGGTATGAGTCAGGACATACTTGTTTGTATTTAAATGCAGTTGAAGAAACTTGTCCTGCTTTTCTTATGTGTAACTTACTGTCTGAATATTTACTGTCTGCATTTTAACCCAGCACAGTGGCAAGAATTCTTTATCTCTTAATTTCTGGACCAAAAGTTCTGTACTCCTTTTCAGGTGCAACATTTTAAGTGATACTTTATAACTACACTATTAAGTTATTTTTCACTTTTTTTTAGCTTTTGAAAGATGAGTTCTGGTCAATACTGAATGCATAGATTCATTTTTTTTTTTTTTAACGTAGTTGAAGATGCAGTTTGCCTAGTTGGTTCACAAACCAATCATTTTTTTTTTCTTGTAATTGGGTGAATTAAGGATATTGAGAATTCTTTTGGGGCTTTTTCCTCAGGTTACTGAATTGTTTAATCATAGAAGGGCTTTAAGCTGCTTATTAAATATTAATGCAAAGCTAGAAGCTATCATTTCCGTTCCCCAGTTAAAAGCTTTTACCATAATCTGGCTTAAGGAACAGATGTGTTTTAACTTCTTCATCCTAATGACAATGATGTCAAGATGTTTTTATACTTAGACATTTACAAGGGTCAAATTTCTTTCTCTCTCTATTTTTTTTTTAAAGTTTAAGTTGCCTGGTGTAATAGAATGCACGTCTTATGGTCTACATTTTTGTTGTAATGACAAATTGCCATATCAATATAATCTGCAATTTTTTAGCTTTTACCAGCCAATTTAGAGTAAGCACAGTTAAAGCTCTTACCTTGAAAGCACCTCATAAGTGTTTACGATATCTTCCTCCCTGATCCTGTGACTGAATTGGAATGTTAAGTGTTGGCATTATTGTGGTTTTTAGGGAAGAACAATGTGGTTATTTTTATTTTGAACCAGATGATTGCCTTAGGGCACTTTCTGTGTTTGTTTTCTTGCTTGCTTATACTATTGTTTTGAAGTCATCCTTTTTATAGAGCCATCTTTTTTTTTTCTCCAGGTGAAAGTGGACTGGGCAAATCAACACTTCTGAACTCACTGTTTTTAACTGATATCTACACACCTGCTGCATATCCAAGTGTAGAGGAACGACTCAACAAAACTGTTTCAGTAAGTCTTTTACTTGATGTGCTGTATAAATTTGAAGCCAGAGAAAAATAGCAAAATATTGAGCACAAAATACTCTCTACTTAGAAGATAAAATATTGGTAATTGGATACTGCAAAGTGGTGTTAAAAATTTTTATTTAATGGCAATTTTAGTGGGTTCTTTTATATTTGCTCAGATTTTATTTATCTCTGCTTGTGAGCCACATGAGCAAATTGATTGGGAAACATGATTTTGATTTGTTTTCCTCTTGTTTCTCTCATTTTTTTGATGAATGTACAGTTTAAGCCAAAAAAGAAGGCAAAAATGTCTCGCTCTTTTAGACCCTTTTTGAAGCAGAAACAAAGAATCAGTTTTCTGCAGTTAAGAAATGAAAGATCAAAGAAACGGGAAGTTTTCCTTGAGTCTCTATTCAGAGAGAAATTTTTTGTTTGTTACTCTTAACCCTTCAACTCCCAAGAGGGACCAAGACATAATTTTCTCCTTACAATACCAATACTATATCAAGCCGACAAGTGATGAGAAAAGAGGAAATTCTCAATATGGGGATTAGTCGTGAATCCAATACCAAATTCTCCAAACCATCTTCATAAGAATTGTGTGGCAGACTGTGAGTATAATTTGAATGAGATCTTGAGAGTGCAAGGGTTAAGGAAAGAATTACTTGAATCAAGTTAAACAGCCTGAAACACAATTAAAGTTAGAGAAAGATGTTTTTCATCTTGTCACAAGTGAGGGACAAGGTAAAAAAAAAATTCTGAGTCTCCATGAGGAATTGAACCTCAGACCTTTGGATTTTGTGTTCCGATGCTCTACCACTGAGCCACAGAGACTTTATGATGAGCGAGGTCTATTATGAAGTTCATATGACACATGTCAGTAAGCTGGTTTAGTTTTTCAATTAGTAACAGTAACTGTAGAAGGTGGGTCATGGATTTTTTTGTTTCATGTAGATAAAACCTTCAACAATTGAGATGAAAGAGGGAGGTGTGCGACTGAGACTAACAGTTGTTGATACTCCAGGATTCGGAGATGCTGTTGACAACACTGACTGGTAAATTACAATTATAGATATTTCTACACACTTTTTAGCTTCATGGACAGCATATTTTTTATCATTATTATTGAAGGAAAAAAGGAAAAGAAAGGATTCTGAAGTTTCTAACAAGCTCATAATCTTTCTTTTTTTCTTTTTTTTTTAAGCTGGAAGCCCATTATTGAATACATAGACAACAAATTTGAAGAATATTTAAATGCAGAATCAAGAGTGGTCAGATCACCTTTCCCGGATGACAGAGTTCATTGTTGCTTGTACTTTATTGCACCTACAGGGCACTGGTTAGTTCATTTTACAAATAGTATGCTTGTTGAACTTTGTTTTGACATTTCTTGATGTGATAGTGACTCAGTGGTGATGAGAATTTGTGGTAAGATTTATTGCTACATGTATTTTCATTTTGCAGTCTAAAACCTTTGGATATAGAATTTATGAAAAGACTTCATAACAAGGTGGGCTTGTAACCTTTTGTTGTGCTGATATGCTTCTGCTTTATACTTTAATTCATGTAACCTTTAAACTATTACGATTGTTAATTCTCTCCTTTAGCTGCTACACCTTTCCTTGTAATTAGACCTAATTACAATATATTCACCCCTGATGAAGGCACCAGATAGGAATGTCGAAACGTTGGGTCTATGAATTGTAACTTCTTTGGTTACATTCATTAAATCTGTAAACCAAAGTAGCATCAAACCATGTCTAGACCTAATTAGTTCCAAAAATTTGGTATTAGATCAAGATGACAGCTTCTACCTGATAAGTTTGAGTATTCTCATTACCTGTTTGCTTAATCATGTATGGGTATTATATGGAGAAGTTACAAGATAATCATTTAACTTTCTACTTATTTTAGGTTAATATTGTACCGGTGATTGCAAAAGCTGACACTTTGACCCATGATGAGTGCACCAAGTTCAAAAAACAGGTTTGAAACTTACTTTTTTGCCTCTTTTGTATTACCTTGTATAGAAATTGCATTTTTTTTTAAAGAACTGCTTCTTTTCACTATCAGATACTTAAGGAAATAGAGGAAAATGACATTGGGATTTACAGATTTCCAGACCTTGGAGGAGATGATGATGATGATGTAGCAGCTGTTAGTATGAAGGTATCAATAAACTTGTAGAAAATAAAACCTTACATGATGCTGTTCATGTCTATAAAAGTGGAAATACAATACTATGTGATCTGGGAGACATATACAGTACTTGCACCTGGATATGCAAGTAACTTGTTTAAGTCCTAACATAGATAACTTTGATTTTGAGCCGGTTATTTACGCGAGTTCTGTCCCAAACCACCGTTTTATGCAAACAATGGGCCTAAGGCTTTCCCCATAGGAGGGTTGATATAATTAGGTAAAAGTCCTTCCACTGTTGGCTTTCGGCTTTCTTGACACTGTGACATAAATAAATGCTCAGATTAAAGGTTCAGCTCAGTTGAGGAGTTTTTTGGACACAGTTTGGTTAAACAACTACTAAACTTTGTTTAAATAATCAGACCTTTGTGTTTGTACTCCCTTGTTGAGGAACAATATTATTTTGTTTCTAGGACAGAATACCTTTTGCAGTGGTTGGTAGCAACACAGTCTTAGAAGTTAATGGCAAGAGAGTAAGAGCCCGAGTGTACCCTTGGGGTGTGGCCGAAGGTATTGCCTGTGATGACATGTTTTTGAAACTTTCTTTGCAAAGTCTCCAGTTGAACTTTACCGCTCTGACGAAGGGCTAACGCTCGAAACGTCAGCTTTCAAACTCTTTATGGTGGCCAATTTATGATCTCAATTCAGTTGATAATGCTAAATTACCCTAAATTACCGTCGCAGCACCATAGTTCCTTTAGAAACTTACCCCTTTATTCATTTGAACTTTACAACCCTTTGGTTTCCACTCTGTTGCCTTTGTAAAGCTATTTTTAACATCTGCTGTCAAAAAGTTAAGCGTTGTACCAGTAAAGTTTGAGACTCTGCCTGCAGTGTGAATGTACTGATGATAGTTTTAATTACATAATCGTATGTTGAAAGTTCCAACCTGTCTTTGTTGAAACAACTGCATGTTGGAACGTTATCGATAGTCGATGTCGCTGATATGTATATCTTGCGGGATTATTAATGATTACTTCCTCTTTCTCTCTTTTTTTTTTAAGTTGAAAATGTAGACCACTGCGATTTTGTTGCTTTAAGAAACATGCTGATCAGGTAAGTATCATGGAACGTAACAAATAAATCCTGATGCCGTAGCAGTGAACGATATCTTAAGCCTGAGTTGTGCAAAACTTAGCAAGCTCAGTTTATTTTAGCTCACGGTATAAATGTTCGATATAGTGTTATAGCATTGCAGGTAGACCTTCTGATTATCTTTCGTTCTCTTCAGTGTATTTTAATCTGAGATGAAACTCTGCAATACGTTTATCCCAACAAACGCTTTCAAACAAAAGAAACCAAAGTCGAGATGATTATACTACCTAGATTAGCGCCGATCACCCTTCAAATGAACAGATCACAGGGGTTGTATTACAGTTCGAATACTGAAAAATTAGCTTAGAAGCGAACACCAGTAGTTGGCGATTTTCGTGTTTACTTTATTTCGTTGTGCCTTCACCTGATGGGGACATTGCAAACTTCTGTAGGCATCACGATCTTATTTACCGGAAAAATTTCAGTGGTTTTGTAAATGAGTTTTATTGCGTGAGTGCGCATTAGATAACAACCGATCGCTATGATGATCTCATAACTAACAAGCGTAAATAGAGTGATTGTCTTATCAACAACGTCCGCAAGATGTAAATAAATCTCTTAAACTTATTATTTTCTTTTTGAACGAGCCAACTAATTGATTATCTAAGATTTACTTCCGTTTTATTTCCTAAAGCTAAGCCAATCAAATCTACTGAATTGGATTATTCAATGATCCAGTTTGTTAATTAATCTTGGATAATTCCATATCCAGGCGTAGATCCATTCTGAGACCATAACCATACGCAGTGACGAAGGGCTCATAACGCTCGAAACATCCTTAAAAACTCTTTACGGCGGCCAATTTACGTTATCAACTCATATATAAAACCATGTTATCTTGTAGTACCCACCACCGACTCAGCGCCTCAGTTTCTTTAGAAACTTTTGCCCTTTATTCACGACCAAATATACTTTCTTTTTCCTTCAGAACGCATATGCAGGATCTCAAGGATGTGACGAACGACACTCACTACGAAAATTATCGCTGCGAAAAGCTGGCGGCCATGACCGTTGGCTCACCTACTAATCAGCCAAGTTCTAAGTAAGTAACTCTGTATCACATCAGTTAAACAAGAGAAGGATGCATCTCTGCCAGAGAAAGTCAGTGTCATGAATAATTCGGGATTGCTTTTGTTATTCCACCCGGTGATTGGTCTAGAAATCTCGCGCGTCATCCTCTGATGCAAAACTGCAACCAATGGGAAATCAGATACAAGCGATCCTCGCAGCTATGAACACCACCAAATGAGTAGTTGAAATAAGACATGAAGAAAATTCAGGCCCATATGGGATTTGAACCCATGACCTCTGCGATACCGGGGAATGGGGAATCAGTCATTCCCGCGCTAGAGGCTTGCTTCTGCCTCGTGTTCTCAATGTGGTTGGTTGCTTTGTTCTAAGTGGCCACTGTGATAACTTTCGTTTTGTTTTACCGTGATACTAAATCAAGTAGTACTTTTTGACTGGCTTGGGGTTTTGTTCCCATGTCCTAGTGCTGTACAAACAACAAGTTTTCTGGCTAAAAATTAACAGTCTCTGGCTCATGCACTATGAGCTCTAACACTCGAATCGTCAGCTTAAGAAATTCTTAACGGTGGCCAATTTACATTATCAACTCAGTCGACATTAATCAGTATTACCCCCTAATGAGGCAGCACCACATTTTCTTGGAAACTTACCACCTTCATTTATGGGGGAGAAAATATTTTTGCAAAGCTTACGCCGGCTTACGCCGAGATGATGGTCGATCGAAGAGGAATCTGAATCGTTTTAACGCAGGCTGTTGATACAACAATTAAACGTGAGGTGTCCGTCATGTATGTACGAAGTGTATGAAAAGTCAAAATGATCTTTACACCTGCGGTTACGACATGAAAGCGTAACAAGATTTTCAATGAGTTGTTTGTAAAGCTACCAGATTGTCCTATAAACAAATCCAGAACAACAAAACAAAGAAACACCCTAACTAAACAAAAACAACGAAACAGTTTTACTTTGAACGAAAACTGTTTAACAAACCGACTCATTGCTCACTGTTTGGTCGTCTTGAAGCATTTTATTTCTTTTTTAGTAACATTCATCATTCAACATTTTTTCTTAGCGTGTCTCTCAGTAGAAGTCCTCTGGAGCAACTGGAAGCTGAGAAAGAGGAACGAGAAATGAAACTGAAGAAAATGGAACAGGAAATGGAGCAAGTGTTCGAAATGAAAGTCAAGGAAAAGAAAAAGAAGCTCAAAGATTCTGAGGCGGAGGTGAGTTGGACAGTGAGTGAGCATTGAGGTGAACATGAACAGCTAAGGCTGACATTGATTCTTTAAATCCCAGGGGTGACTTGGACAGAATTTTTACGCATAATGTCAATTAAATATGTAGAAGACAAGCGATAATGAACAAAATATCAACTGGGGATTATTATTTGATTCAACACCAATTTCTCAGAGTTATCTTCATGACAAGTGAACCATGGTTAGAGTTATCATTAGAGCAATTTTCAGCGGAGTGTTGAAAGCAATCAGGGATAGCTTTGGACTAGCGTCGCCATGAGCTGTGAATGGTATAGAAACTTGTGCTTTCCCCTCTATCATTATCGATCAAAGAGCGCTCTCTATTGGTTATCGTAAAACCCGGCTAAACCAAAATAATCACAACAGGCATTCAGTAGAAAGGAAAATACCTTGAAGAGCCAATGGCAACTCGAAGTTAAAATAACAAACTGGCTAAAGCGCGGGAATACGCGGGCGACCAAGTCGTGATTAGTTTTAGTTTCGGTTCTGATTGTTTGAGAAAGTTGCCCGAATTTTCTTGACCAATCACAAAGCGAAGCACAGTACCACCCCTGCTATGTTGGATTACTTTGGACACTGTTTTAAACTTGTTCTAAGACCAATGGCAACTTGAACACCAGAGATTTCCAGTTCTTCGGGCAGTTTACATTTTTTTACTCTGAACTCTTTTTGGTCTCATGCGACACTTAGCTTCGTTGTAATCGCTCTTTTGTACTTAGAAAACAATTCAGTGCGAACATTTTTTTAACAGCTTGGCAAGAAAAACGAACAGATGTGGAAACAGCTCGACCAGCAGAACAAGGAGCTAGAGGAAAAACGAAAACAGTTCGAGAGAGAGAAGGGACACTACGAGGAAGAACTGAAAAGTAATGGCCTGAAGGGTCTGGAACGGTCTGACTCCTCCAGCAAATCACTCAAGTAGGTGTATTCCTTTACAAACACACGCGGCCTTGGTTTGTAATAGAACAAGAGGTGTCCTAAATACCCAGTTTACAACGGACATTGTTAAGAAAATTGCTGTCGGAAGTAGTTTGTTTGTTTGTTTTTTCGGAATTTTTTGGGAGTGATTTGTAGTAAAGTGACCCTTCTTCTAAAAGGCGGACTGAAAGTGAAATTTTTTCGGTATTAAACAACTGCACACAGGAAGTGTAGACCAGTTTCTAGAAAAACATTCTTGCAAGTTTCATTGCCTTCGTGATTTTTCAGGCAGAAAATTTCCTTCTATTCTGGACCTTCAGTCCAACAATCGTCCATAAATATCGATATAATTGGAGTTTCAAACCAGTTGCATTGATTTGAAATATTTCCTCGTGCTATTTGAACCATGCGAGAGGGTGGATGGGAATTGTAGATAAAATATTTAGGTCAATTTGTCAACAATTCTTTCGCCAAATAACCTTTATGCGTGATTACGTTTTACCCTAAGCCTTTTTTGCTCCACATCCCTCTTTTGCCTGTCATCTTGTTCTTGGTTATACGTGGGTATTCTTTGGATATCATTGCTTTTGCAATACGTTCCGCACCAAGAAAGCGAGGCTTAGGTACACGTTACGTAACTTTGCATGAGGCTATGTGGGTCTTTCGCTCGTCTGTCTGTAAGGTTAGATGAGATTTTGTAGGATCTGATTAATAGTGCTGAAAGAAACTGTGGTTTGCTCATGTTTTTTGTTTGGAGTATGTGTCGCTTGTTTTTTGTCTGTATATGCTTATTTAGCAGCTGCAAGTAATGAAGTTGGCATTAACGTTTGCGTTGGCTCACCCAATCCTCTCCTAACTTATCAATTGGTTCTTGTAAAAGCGATTTCGCTCCCGCTTAGTTATGCTGTGTTGGCCATTGTTAAAGTAAAAAGCCTTTCTTGAAGTCAGTTTTCATTTTTGTGTGTTCTCAGACATCTTATGTTAGCCTGGTGGAACTCTTGGAGCGCTTTTCGATGAAGTGCAAACTCGTAATCACATTTGCTTTGAATCCTAATTGGTCAAAGACGTTCGAGTTACCTTCTCAATTGACCAGATTGTATTGGTTCTTCTTTGAGATCGGTTTAGAAAACTCGTGCTAGTCTCTGAACCAATCACATGCAAAACTAGAACCAATCACAACTCGGAATTAGTTTCACGCGCTAGAAGTAGTTTTTGACTTTTAAGCCTGAGTTCCCATTGGCCCCTTTTGAAATTTCACTTTGTTGTCTTTGGCTCCGCTGCTATCGCCTAACAACACTTCGAAATGCGCTTTAAATCGGTACACCCTAAGGAATTTCCTATTCCTTTTTTGTCTACAATGTTTGCTGTAAAGCAGTCTCAGATAATTTTTAGCGCTTTAGTCTGTGCAGTTCCACCTTTTTGCCGGTAAGTGCTGTCGTGCTAACGCTTTGTAGTGTCTAAGTGTTCAACTTATTGCGCCCGAAACGTTTAATTACATAAATGGTCTCCTAAATTATGCTATGTTTAAAGCTGAGTTGCTTAATATAGTTAGCAGTAAAGGGGAAAAACGCCCAAAATAAATATGGGTTTAAAAGCTGTGCATTAAATGGTCATTTAAAGGTTGCTTAACATTCATAACGCGTGTGTTCATTAACACAGTGATTGACTGTCGCCATGTATGTAGCATACTGTCTTATATCCTAAACCATGAAATAAATAGCTATTTCACGGCTTCCAATCACAACCTCCCGTGAGCTTTCCGTCCGCGCTCAATCTGTAGCCATGAATCATGTATAGCAATAATGACGTGATCATTTGTTTACACAGAGAAAACCATCGCGCTCTTTTCCATGGAGCATTGTGTTTCCCAAAGGCATAAATCTAGAATCAACCAGGTACTGACCTTTTTTTTTATAGTCATGAGTCACAATAAAATGGTTGCTTTCTACTATAAACATACTTATTGTTGTTCAGCAATATAAAGTCCGCCGAGCTAACTACCCTTAAAGCAATAAATTTAACTTTGCCAAATAAAGCATTTAAAAACCGTAGTTAGGTGCATGAAGTAATACCTAAAAAAAAAAAAAATTTGAGTTGTGAAGTGCACTAAATATCTCAAATCCAGATGGGTCGCCTCATGCTATTTTACGAATTAAATAAGCAGTTTCATGATTGACTAAACCTGAAGCAAATCTTAAACAATTCAGAGTTCATACCTCGCCAAGAACAAAAGCTAACTTAAGATGTCTGAGCAGCCCCGAAATGCATTTGGCAACTGTGCCTGTTATCACTTGACTTTCTCGTATTCGATCGGAGTTGTTAATTCTATGCAACAGAAAGTCAACGTTTTCCGTCGACACCAGAACTAAACAGTAATTTTGAATATAAAGACCTAATTGTACATTGTTCTTAACCACTTGACAAGTGGCCAAATTTTTCATTTTAAGGCAAAGGTTTTTTCCCTTGAAGATTTTATCTTATGTAGGATCTGTGGAAGCTCTTGGAGATTTGCGTTTCGCCCCTCCCCTCCCAACCCTACCATTTATTATTTCAGGTGCATGTTTGCTAGTCCCACCTCAACCTGCGGTAATTCTGCTAGGGAGCATTTGTTATCCTGGGGGTGAAACTGCCTCCTATCCTGCAACTCGATCTTGTTGAGTAAAATTGCTTCTCCGAACCCAGTTAGTCGGAGCACGTTCGAATCCTTAACGGAAGGCAACTGAAACACTTCGTATGAAGTTCTCGTCTAATTTCGAAGAAACCGGTTTTGAATTTTGTCTTGAACCCTGGCTAGGGGATTGAAAAATTGTGTTCATCTTTTATTTCAGAGTGTCGGGAATACCTCACCGTTTCTCTCGCATCTGTTAGTAACTAATATTCATGCTTTCTACGTTTATGGTGCACAAGCACGCTCGAGTTTTGCGCTAAACATTATCACCCATTTCGAAATAATATTGTCGCTAAAAAGCATTTCACTTTTTTCTGGCACGCATTACACGCAATACTAAAAAAGAGAGAGGTAACTGCGTTTCTGAATCTTCTAGTTAGCGTCGAAAACAACTTATGAAAAAGTTCTCAAAGAGAAAAATTGTTAGTTGATATTCAAAGTCCATAGAAGTATAAACAAGTTAGTATGGAAATTTGATGTAATTTTTTACGATCGAGTACATAGTATCGAGATTGATAACATACGACTGATCAAATCAAGCCACGAGGTTGCAAATGTTTATATATGTTTTAAAAAAATTCGTTTTGCTGCGCAAATGAATAGCAGAACGATGGCGTGAACCTGTTGAAATAATTAGTTGTGGAAGACAATGGATACAGCTAATGCTTATGTGCTTATTTTCATACTAACAGGTCAGTAGATGGTCTAGTGAAAGAAAAAGATGGCAAGAAAAAAGAGAAGAGAAAGGGTTTCTTTTAAATGAGTTTTTACCCCAGAGAAGACTGCAACACGATAGGATTGGATTGTTATGAACACTTCATCGACATATTTGGTATGACCTTGGAATCGACGAACTACGGAGACAAAAAGAACACAGCGTGTGACACAAGATGTTCAGTTGTTTTGCGTGACAGCGTGAGCGCGCATCAGGACACTTTTAACATTGAATGAAGAAAGCGTGACTTGAAAACCATTACTCCCAAAAGATAGGAATTTTGGTATAACATCGTTTTAAATTGTTTTTCTGCCAAGCGTATATCGTTTAAAGATTATTTAATGTAAATTTGAAAATGTTTTGTGGTTATTTAGTGTACTAACTTCACTAAGGACAGATTTCCAACATTCATTATATGAGAGAAGTCAAGTTTGTAAGCGAAAGATACGTTTTCTTTTAAGCAGTTTTGAGAATCATTAGCTTGTAACTTTTAAAATATATATTACATGCAAAGTATCTTCCTGTAATCAGGGTTAACATTCCCCGTCTGATTTCATTACAACCTGCTTGCTTAACGGGGAGAATTAGATTTTGCCATCGTGTCTTTTCCTCTGGAGAGCTTTGGTTTTAAGTGTGTGAACCTTGCTTGAAGGGGAATAGTAAAAAAGGAAATTTTAAACTGGACACATCTAAGCATGGCTTCTTCAGTTAAGAATCTTGAAGTAATTGTCGAGTTATCTGCATCTCAAAAGAAAAAAAAATTTATTCAGGTTATAAACATATTACCTACATCATGTTATGTTTTACAGAGACTATGGGTGAATCAACGAAACAGTTCTTACTGTTCAAACGCTAAGTTGCCATAGAAAAATCGTTAATTGAAGAAAATTTGTCATTGCCTCCATTAAAGATGGCGTATAAAACAACACTAAAAAGATACTGGAGAGGTTTCTTGTGTGTTAGCTCTTTTGACATATAAACGAATTTTACAAATATATAGGTTAGGGTTAAGGAGGCGTCATAGTTAAGAGGGCTCAGACTCCTACAAAAAAAAATATCCCTTAAGTTATTGATATCAAATGGTTGATTGTAGTTTGGGTATGACCTCAGGAACTGGCCGTGGCGACGAATTAGGATTTGGTCTCTAGTTAATGGTATTGACGTTGTCGTTCGACCTAACAGGGGGCAATGCCTTGTAAGACTAAGTGTACGTACGGTGTAATAAGAGATTACCAGAATACCATTTACCGATAACAGTGACTAGCATGTAATCTCTCCGTACAACATCGCCCTAGAGTCTAAAATTACGTTCATGAGAATAAAAGATTGAAATAATCACCTACTAAAGAAGCCCTTGATTGTTAAACAAATTCTCCCGTCGCCACCCTTGGAAATGTATAGAGAACAGTAGGAAGAATATGCATACTGTTGTTAAGGTGTAAAGGGTTAACTGAGGAAAAAGACGGAGGACCCACTGGGTGGGTTCAGTCCTTGGTTCCAGTCCTTGGGTCCAATCCCTGGTTACATCATTCGATAAAATGTGAGTCAGTTTGCCTCAGCCGGCTATAAACAAAATTCTGTCTATTGTCGACGTAGTGATGTTAGTTGTTTGTTGCCCTCCACCATGACGCTGCAATTCGATATAAAAAGGCTGTTATGATGTACACATGAAATTTGCGCTTCAGTTGAACTTTGTTGGAGTCAGAGTGTAAATGATATTTTTAGAAGACAGGGAAGACGACGGACAAACGAAGCGCTTTTTAAAGTCAATCACATTTGTGGGGGTCTCTAAAGCCTAAGTTCTATATTATAGATATATTATACTGGATTACAGTTGTGCAATTTCGAAGAAAAAAACAGGTTTTCTTTTTTTGTGTTCAAAGACTTCATAAAACAAAGAAAGAAGCTGATATGAAGAGTATCTATTCCCTACGCTTCACCCCGTTGATTTCCGCAGTCTTCTCCTTATCATGAAAAATTAGCAATAAGGAAAGGTAGCATTGATTGAGGTGTGTGTTTACGTGGTTGGGGAGGGGAGGGGAGCTTGCTTTTCCTCCGCGATTGCACACCTACGTTCCCATATTGCAGTTTTACTACCCATGATTTTTCGAGTGGTTCATTTCGTCTGTGCTGCAATCTAAGAATATCTGATAACATACCAGGCACTGCCATCTTCTGATATTCCTCGGGTTGTTCCATGCAGTCAATGTTTCCATGCATGAATGACTTTGACGTATCAGACGAGAAGTGTCTGCATGGAGATAAGAATGATCATTAGAATCCTTAGCACCTTTGCATCCCAAGCAGGCCGAGAAGAGCACATGGAATTCCGACGCATGTGCATATAGAAAGAAAACCGCTGACTACTAAAGAACGCTGATGCTCTTTATTGTTGACTCCGTTAAATTGCATTTAACTGCATTGAAAGAAGGAAACATACAGCGAGTAACTTTATGCCAAAAAAATCGGGAACACATTACAGTAGCTTTGCAACTTAGATGCGACTGCGGTTTACACATTCTGAAGTCGCTGATTAGGAAAAGTGACCTAGGCAACGTCTGTTAACGCACCTATTCAAATCCTCGCTGCTCGCCCAAATCTCGTACACCACAAACGTGTTTGTTCCACTGATAGTGCGTATCCCAAGACTGCAAGAGAAATACATTGAGGAGGTTAGGCATGAAGTTCACGGGGAACATCAAAAATCGAACTTCTTAAGTTTGCTCTCAGTCGTTTGCACTTGCATTTCTGTGTTCAGGATATTTTTCTGCTCTTTTTGGAAGACCAAGTCAGCCTAACAAGTAACCAACGCTGAGTAAATCTATCGACTTACTGCAAACAGCCATCTGCTAAAGACGAGGACGCTACATAACTCTTCAAGTTTGAACGGAATTCTTTTTCAGCCTTTACTTGAAATTTCCTTGAAACTAAAACCACCTAATAAAGAAAAAAGAAAAAGTAAAAAAACTTGCTAATAAGTCTTAAGTGTCTCAATAAAGCGCGTTTCAACTGAACCAAACCCAAAGTAATCTGAATGGCTGTTAAGAAGAGGGGGAAATCCAACTCGCGTGAGCCAATAAGGACTTCAGGCAAAACCGCCTAAAGCGGAGGAAAACAGGAGGTACCAGGGCGCGATCGGTCTTAGTCTTGGATGTGAAAGTTTGACATGACAGTCTGAGTTTTCTTAGCCGATCATAGAGCGTGTTGAGGGAACATCAAAGAATACAGGATTACTTGGACCCTAAATTGTATTTTGCACTCAGAGACAGGTTTACGTCTACAGGAACACGCCTCCGACGTACTGAACTTTTTAAGAGATATACAATTACTCTTGATCTCAAATCCTTTGCTCTGTATTTACAAATAGGATTTCTACAATACCGATTGTTCTTTTCCAACTTCAACTTCCTCTTCATCAATGACATCAAATTTGACCTGTTAAGATTCCATGTAGTTGAAACCTTGTATTTCATTTAAAAAAACTGTCCGAGATATTACAAGCGCCCTGATTGGTATATAAACTATCGTTTATAACACCGTTTAACCTATAGAAAACTGAAGCTTATTTTATAAAAGCAATCAACAGTACTTTCTATTGGTTTACCGGCGTAATGAACCCTGGGGGATGTTGTGAGAACACGAAAAAAGTTTGTAAATCACTCGTCTCCAACTTTTAAAAGTAAACTCAAAGAAACAGTAATGGAAAAGAGCACTGAGAATATAATTCATACCGTGTAGCTGTCACTTTTCATAAAATAACTGAGACAGTGGGTGGGCTCTCAGCAATGGATAGCCATGTTTTTACAACAGTGTTGACCCTTAAGCCCTAAGAGTATCTAGCATCTAATTTCTCCGTGCAATATCACCCCTGAATCAATCATTAAGGACATGTAGAATAAAAGAAATGATAACCAACTAAAGAAGCTCTTGATTGTTAAACAAATTCTCCTTGCCAGCACCTTACAAATGTGCAGAGAACAGTATGGAGAACATGTATACTGATGTCAGGGAGTAAAGGCTTAAAAAAAAAGTTGTACCATAAGACTCCCTTGTTTTTTTGAGATTTTTTTTTAATAAAGGCATGCAGCAGAGGACATCTTTCATGTTTATGAAGCCTCATGTGAACACTAAGATGGTTTGGAAAATTCTCAAAATTGATACAAACTCTCACCCCTGTTTTTGTTTTGTTTAACTATCTCATATTCTCCCCATCCCCCTTGTGTTTAGATGTAGCCATACAATGATGGAAGAAGTCCTCTACTGCCTAAATATCATTAAGAAAAAAAGGAAGGCACACCTTATTTTCCAATTTGTCAATGAGCTCTGAAAGACGATCTACTTCCAAGGACAAACCATGTCTCATTGCTTGCTGGTTAGCTGTTCAGATATCAATGTTTTGTGAGAAACTTAAACTTGAACATTGTTGTATGTCAGCTCATGACTTGTCCTGTCTGTCTTACAACACTACAATAACCATGATCAGATGCAAGACATTAAACCCTCTAACTCCCATGAGTGACCAAGAAGAATTTCTCTTTACAACATCAATACAATATTAACCACATCAGTGATGAGAATAGAGAAAAAAATCAATTTGGGGAAAATTAGTTAATCCAATACTAACTTCTCTGAACTAACATTATAAGAAAGTAAGGAGACTTACAAATTTGATCTGGGAGTTAAAGGGTTAACCACCCCACTTAGGGTGGGGAAGTTTTCCCTAACTAAAAAAATAACAACATTTGTGGATCAATGTCAATATCTAAGCAATGGTGTACCTACCCCTCCCCTGACCCAACAAGTAATCCTAACTTGTCATCATTTGACTGTTTTTTGGGTTAGGAGAGGGGTAGTTACTTCTGAAGAAACTGACATTGATTCAATTTTCCATTAGCCAGGTACAGAAAAACATAGTAGCCCCCAACAGTTAAAATATATTTGAGACTGACAAAGGTATCTTCCTTATTTATCTAATCTAATAAGTAGCAAGTGGGCAGTGAAGCCCAGAGCTACAATGAGGGTATTATTATGGGATGAATTCTGTTTCGGTTCAACTGATTTGGATAGAGCCTGGTCCAAAGTCTATTGTGCATTAATGCTGGTAGTATTCACAGACGTCCTTCCTAATAGAGAAATTGTGCAGGGAAGGGGATCAAACACTTCATAATGATATGTATTGATATTTGTGTCTACTTATAAAAATACCTCTCCCAACTTTTACCTTTAATTGTAAATAGTCAGGAAGAAGTTGAAGAGGTGCAGGAAGGTTGAATATTTGACTTCTTGATGGCTAGTGCCACCTGAAATTATTCCTTCAGCAATCCCCCTAAGAGGGATCAAAGACTGGACCTTAGAAAGAAAACAGTAAAAAATAAAGTAGTTTATAAGTTACCATCAAGGCTTGTTTGTTGTCCAAATGAATGCATCTTTCTCTTCATCCTTCCTCCTCTTACATTTGTATTGGTGACTGCAGCTTGACAAACATCAGGTCTAGTGAAAGACAAACACACATCAACTTCATAAATGAAACTGAATTTTTTTCCTTCCTCTCATATTTGAGGCAAATACACTGATAATTTATGTTATTTTATTAGGCATTAATACTGAAGAAATTGATTGCTCATAAAATGAAAGACTTTGAACGTCAGCTCTTACATTTGTAATTGCACCCTGACAGGCCCTCTGATGTCACTCATAACAAATTGATGTCTTTGGGCAACTTCCATGACTTTTCTTACATAATAAAGCTTTTTAACACTGGGTTCCCCATATTTCTGAAACAAGAGCCTTCAGGGACTCTGTGATTTTTCTAAGTGCACAGCATTGCCAACAAGGTTGACCAAGAAATTACACGAGGTGAGACTGAATGACAGATCAGGAAAGTTATTAAGAGCCTGTGATTTAATTATAAAAGAAATGTTACAAAGAAACAATCACCTTTGCTGTGTTTCTTCCTCATCAATCTTATCTACTGCAGCATTGATGTGATGTGCTAGACAACCCATCTGTCCCTGAATCTATACAGTTGTGAAGCAGAGACATGTGAACTTACATCAGTCACAATTCATTGTGAAGATAATAGTCAATGTCACTATGTCTTTCAGGGAGGTTTTCCATCCTCAAAATTATTACAGACTGATACATTTATGTACCTCAGTGTTGAACCTAAAACTGGGGCAGTTTTAAATAAGGTTGAGAGAATGATCATGATATGTCCTAATTAATTACCTCTTTCAACAGGAAGCGAGTGGTAAACTTTCCAATAAAGGACTTGTCAGGATAAGCCTATAGCAAGAAATATCATTTAAACCAGTTATAAATTTACTTAACATATTATTTCTCTATGCAATCTCACCCCAGATTCACTTATAAGGTCACGAGAATAAAGAAAATGATTGCAAACCAAGGAAGCTTTGATTGTTAAATGAATTCTCCTTGTCAGTATCAAAATGAATGTACAGAGATGATTGTAGGGAATATAGATACTGATATTAGGGTGTAAAGGGTTAAGAAAAGGCAAAGTTCACATTCATGACCATCAATGACAACTGTATCCAATAAAAATTAGATATTTTTTCAAAATATATGAATGACTGATATGCTCTGAAAGGCTGCTAATATTTCTAAAGAGAGAGAAAAATAAAAGTTTATCAGGATATTGTATTTACTCTATTGCCTTGTTTTCCTTTATAAAATTACATATTGAAGTACTGTATTTTATTTTATATAGGCTCAGTTATGCATGCATTCTGATTGGTTCTCATTTATGATCTATTGGAGGACAGATGCATAGATGATGTCATCATTAAAACTTTTTTTAATTCTTTACAATATAAAACAAATAGATTCCAAGTTGCTGTGTGTCTGTTCAGTAATAGATCACAGAGGATGTCAAAATGTGGTAAAACATCATTGACACACTTGGCTGCGCCTTGTGTGCCACTTTTTTGTTCTTACCACATTTTGATGTCATCTGTGATCTATTACTGAACAGACTAATGGCAACTTGGAATCTATTTGTTAAATAGAGAACAGGTGAGTATTTCTGTAATATTTAATACCCTGTAGTGATGGTACAAACCTTTGCAGACTCCACCAATGCATTACTGACAGCTTTGTTCATGCTCTCTAGATTGGCAAAGATCTCAGTGAAAGGGCCCATTTCTTTCATGAAGTAATCTAGATAGAGTAAGCAGGGACATCTCTCATAAATAGCAGGTCTAATGGTTATTCTGTGCTATACATGTAAATAAGTGACTCTTGGCTCCCTTCTTGAGTAGAAAAAAAATTGAAATAAATGCAATGATCACCTAAACAGACAGTTACTCTTTACACACTAAGAATGATATGCATCTTTCCCACACTATTCTTTATATACTTCTGATGGCACTGACAAGGAAAATTGTTCAACAATCAAGGGGTTCTTGAGTTTGTTATCCTTTCCTTTGCTCTTGTGACCTTAGTATTTTATTCAGGGGTAATATTGTTTTGAGAAGTTGGATGTTAGTCACTCATGAGGGTTAGGAGGCCTATTTTTATGTTACAGTACAAAGCTAATCTTTGAACGAGGGCAAGCAGAACATCCATATCCATACAATGAAATAGCCAAATGTTTTTGGATTAAAAAAAAATACAATTATCCAACAAAATTGCCACTTTAATCCTAATTTAGCTGTTATTATGCGACATTTGGTGGAATACTTACCACAAAGCTCAGAAGTATCCAAATTACTAAAATGATAACAAAAAACGCTTTATTTTAAAATAGAATTGTATCAGAATTGAGCAATTTGGACACTTCTCAGTTTACATTATGATGGTAATACAGCTGCCATGCTCTAAGGAAGGTCACATGAAATTCCTAAGGAAGAGTGGGGTTCAGTATAAAGGATTAAGTCGAATTTCTAAAGAAACTATGAAGCACAAGCAGAATTTCCAGAGAGCAGATGATGTTTACTTACAGAAGAGAACAACAAAAAGAAAAAGAAAATATAGCAGTTTACTTAGTACTTCTTATGTAAGCATTTGGGTTTCAGAGACCCTGCAATTTCTACAACTTTTATGCTTCTATGTAATGATTGGCTTTGGTGTAATTCTTAAATGAACAGTGGTTTGCAATGAAGGAAGGTAATTGTTCCAGCCCTCATTTGCATATTTTTGGACATTGATATATTGCACAGGGCGTGATGTGTATTTATCATAGTTAATCCTTAATCAGATCGTGTCCTGAACTTAATCACGCGCTGCAAGGAGCCTTTAAAGTTCTATAAACACCTATTTAATTTCTCATCTACAATCATGCCCTTACGTACTTTGTGTTGTGTGTATCGATGTCGTGGAATAATTTTTCCAAATCTTCGTTCGACAAGATTCCATCGCTGAAGAATGCCTTGAATTCCTCCAGAGACAGAGCACCATCATCTGTTTTTTAAACGAATCGGTAACAGATTAATTGTCTGTAAATGTGTATAACTAGATCAGCTAGCTCCCGAAATTGTTAAATCGACCGGAAGTGACCTCCAACATCATATTTATCGACAATAATTTCGCAAATTTTCGCACAAATATTAGTATGAAAAATAGGACCCCTCACCAGTTTTATCTGCTCTTCGAAACACCTGCAGGAGAAAATACAAAGCTCTGATTTAATATCAATAGACATGTGGAACGAGAAAATTGTAAACTGAACACATACGTCCAAAAAGATCGACCTTCCCGGGGGCTGTTCCTCCAACATTCCCGCCATGATCAACGTTACTGGGCTTACCGATATCCACGATCTAGTCCGAAGATTTCCGGAAAAGTTTTCGGAACGAGTTCGAACAAAATGGCGGCCATATCATCATCTCCAGTTGTCCAAGCAATCGATCAGAAATCTATTCACCAGATTTGCTCTGGTCAGGTTGTTTTAAGTATTGCAACTGCAATGAAAGAGCTTGTTGAAAATAGCTTGGATGCTGGAGCCACCAACATCGAAATCAAACTACGAAATCATGGCGCTGACGTTTTAGAGGTTATCGATAATGGCTGTGGGGTAGAACCCCACAATTTCGAAGCGTTGACTTTAAAGCACCATACCTCGAAGCTAAAAGATTTCTCCGATCTCGCAAGCGTGGAAACGTTTGGTTTCAGAGGGGAGGCACTAAGCTCCCTTTGTGCGCTGAGGTATTTGTGAAGGGGACACTGTTTGGTGTTGGCGGGAAACTAAATTGGTTATTTAACGTCCCTTACGACTGAATGTTGTTGATAGCTTGCAATATATCTGTAAATTCGTCACTAGA